CCTTAGCAAAGCGCATCCCAGGCTGCATAGCCGCACTACCCTACCCAACCATACCACACATAAACATGACACTACCCCCGGGGTTTACACAGACGAGCCGGCGAAGCAAGAAGAGCGCCAGAAGAAAGGGCCCTAGCCGGCGGGGCCCAGCCAGGACAAAAGGAGGTCCCACAAAGCGCCTACACCGGCCGCATTTGCGGTCGGGGTAGACGACGGATGGGGCCCACCTACGAAGGCTGTCCAGGCCTACACGAGATGAGGCAGGATAAAGAGGGATAATCCCCCTCGATCCCAAATCATTGAGGCCAATTTCTAGCCATAGAATAATGGCGCGCGGTCACATATCAGAAAAAAAATTGTTAGAACACTATACACAAATGTGTATAAAATTTTTAGTATTGCTTTTATAGAAAACAACGGATACTGTAACAGTGTACATAAGCTAAGAGCGAGTAATTTGAAAAGTCTTATATATGCCTGTTAGTCGGGCACGGATAATCTCCATAAATCGTTATTTACTCTCCATGTGACGTCATATCATAACCGCGGGTAAGTACAATATTATATCTCTTTAGTTTTTGATAATGATAATGCTAAAATCCATTGTTTTCAAATGTTGTCGTAAACTAACTAGTTGGGTAGGTAAGTCACAATATAAATATAATAAGGATAATTATTATTGCTAGGATTAGAAGCGGTGTTCAATTTCTAATCTAAATAGCGAGTTTGTAGAGAATTTTTGAACAATTTATTAACGAAGGTTATCACCATAATTTTGTGATAAAAATATTAATCCGTACTTTCCAATTTTCATTATCAATATAAAATCACATAGAATAATTAACCGTGAATACGTAACCAACTGGAGGATTAGCTGTTATTCGCAAAAAATGGCCTACCTGGTAGAAATTACCAGAATCTTAAGATTCCAGAAAAAACATAACCAAAATTAAGTAACGGAAAGACAACATTACCAAAAAGAGTTGATATAAAAATGGAAACATGTATTAAATGCAATATTTATTATAAATGTATATATTTGTTTATAAATTATAGATGCAATGGAGAATTTATTAATGGATCTAGAATCTTTTGAAAAAGTATGTCGAGTTTGCTTAAAAGCTGAGAGTGACATGCAAGATATTTTTAATTCATCGATAGACACAATATTAATACAGTGTACTTCGGTGCAGGTAAATTGGTTCATAACATTAAGACGCATTATTACTATTAGATGCTTAAAATAATCACAAGATTTTTCGTACTTTCAACGGTTATCCTTCCTCTAATATTGAAATAAATTTTCTAATTTCCAGGAATCTAAATTTATTTGTTAGGTACTTTATTTTGATCAAAAAATGTACAGTAAAATATTGCATACGATTCATTCAGTCATTGCAGGATGTAAAATTATTTTTAGGTTCAAACTGGAGATGGCCTCCCTAATCTAATATGTGCAAATTGCGAGAAAAGATTACACGAAGCATATTCTTTCAGACAGTTATGTGAAATTAATGATAGGTTTTTGAGGAAAATATTTGAAAAACTCAAAGAGGATGAATCGTTTGAAAAATCATTACATGATAGTTTTGATCCCTTATTTCATGACTCGGATAATCATTTTATTGATCAGGGAGATTATGATGTGTATAATAATGACCTAAAAAATGAAAATTTGGTAAATGTAAAAATTGAAGCGCCATGTATAGTGAATACGGATAATGAAAAAGGTATGAATGATATTTAAAAATGATTTTGTAAAGCATTTTGGTTTAAAATTTTTAGGACAGGCAATACCAGTTCAAAATAATGAATCGAAATGCGAGCTTTGTGATATGGAATTAATTAATACTTCATTAAATTATCATTTAACGTCGTTTCACCCTTCTGAAAATTGTCACTATTGTTGTGAATGTAATAAGCAATTCAGCGAATTGAAGCTTTTAAAAAGGCATTTGAGACTACACAGGTATAATCAATATTTATTTAGCAAATGATTTGTACCTAATGCAACTTAAATTTTGATAAACTGTAAACTACAGTTGATTTCGCTTCTTTTTGGCCTTTATTGGTTCCCGGACACTAGAGGATGTTAAATTCAATTTATCTTTAAAACTATAATACCATTCTTATTTTTGGCCACACTGTTATCATCATATTTGAATATTCCTTCAAATTGCATAAAATGTCAATTTATAACACTTGTTTATATATGGCGATTTAAGGAATTTTATGGCGACTGATTTTTTGGTAAACTGACACTATTTAATAGATTAAAAAAATGTTTTATGTAATATATTCACCCGCCAACACAAGCATTTGTCAACCATTTTTCAGTTCTTGTTTATATTGCTAAAAAAAGGTTTGTATGTAATAAAATTTAATTTTAGGACCAACAAAAAATTTGAGTGTACAATGTGTAAAAAAGTATTTTACAAGGCCAGCGATTTAAAAATCCACTTAAGACGTCACACTGGAGAAAAACCCATAACTTGCTCAGTGTGTTCGAAAGCATTTGTAGATCCGGGAGGATTATACAGCCACATGAAAACGCATACAGGTAATAACTTATATATTAATAAGTACATTATATTTTTAAAAACATTTTTTAAAATTTTTCCTTGCTATTGTAGACAAATTAAAAATGTATATAGAGTCAATGTTAATTCATTTTTGTTAATTTTGACTGTCGCGTAATTTTAGGTAAAAAACCATATCAGTGCAAGATTTGTAACAAAGGGTTTGCCCATTCCTTCACTCGCAATATCCACATGAGGATACACACTGCTGAAAGACCTTACGTGTGCACACATTGTGGAAAAAGTTTTGTTTATGTACATAATCTGATTATTCACACCCGACAGCATACGGGAGAAAGACCTTATAAATGTACCGATTGTCCAAAAGCTTTCCGTTCCAGTTCAACACTCAAAGCTCATATGTTAACTCATACTGGTGAAAAAAGGTACTATAATTTGTAGTTATTATATTGTGTTTTCTCTGTTTATTAGGATATTTTGTTTTTATTATTATTTTAATATAATCCATCACATTTATTAAAAAATGTCCGTAATAGCGTGTGTTAATCTTCGACTGATCTATATTGTGTATTAAAATATTTAAAAACCTAACACAGTAATCAAAAATTGAATAAAAGTGTTTTGTAAGCCTCTAATTTTTTAAAGCAAAATTTTACTAAAACCTAAGTCCGTTTATTTTTATGCAAGAAAACTACCACTGGAGTTTGTCCCATTCATTTCTGGACATCTTGCGTGTTGGTATTAATGAATTCTAAAAAAATCTAAAATCTCACAATTTGTTATACGAAATAAAATATATTCTAATTCGTCAGCTTCATTGTTGCAAATTGCATGTTGCTGGTAAAATTTACCGTAACGAATGCCACAGTATGTCGCAAACCTTTTTAATTGTTTTAGATTTATATGCAGTACTTGTGGTAAAAGGGTTTCTAGATCTGGAGACCTTACTATCCACATGAGAACACATACGGGTGAAAGACCGTATGCCTGTACCATTTGCCCTAAACGATACAAAATGTCGTCACATCTTCATAGTCACATGAAGTCACATACAGGTAAGAGTACTTTTGCGGGTTTAGTGAAACGTTGCTTGTAAGTAAAGTCTCGGTACTTTTTAGGAGAAAAAGATCATTTTTGTGGAACTTGTGGCAAAGCGTTTTCGGATAAAAAATTGTTAACGATTCATTCGCGAACACATAGTGATGTCAAACCTTATGCCTGTTCGGCATGCAATAAAAGATTCTCTTATCCTAGTTCTTTGTCGTCTCATAAAAAGGTTCATAACAAAGAGAAAATTAGATCAATTGAAAAAGATACCTGAATTTGTACTTTGACTGAAATATATTGTTATATTAATAATGCAGCTTTATTTACCTTACAACCTTTTTTGCTACATGAATGTTGCATTATCGCCATGGTAGCGTAGTCGGTCGAGTGTGTGGTGGCAAGCATTTCTTGGCCAGGTTTACTATTCTGGTCCGGGCTAGATCCCTGGGGTCGTCATTGGTAATTTCGATGGATAATTGGTGTTTGTCCGCATTTTTTCAAGTGTAGCCCTCTTCCACACAGCATTTGGCTTTGGATTTGGGGGTTGCCTCATTTTTGTGGTGTGTTTTATGTTTTTATAAATACAGTACCTTCATATTTTAGAACGCAGATCGATTTAATTTTTTTTTTTTTTTTTCAGTATTCGATGAAATCTCATTTACCATTCGTAATTTCCATTTTTATCTCAAGTTCATGGCCTGCTATGTCCAAAAATTAAAAAATTTTATATAAACACTAAGAAAAATATTTAATGTATGATAGTTTTTCGGGTTGTTATACTGCCTTTATATCTGGTCATCGCCAGTTTTTGTTCTCGGGCTAAGCTCTGTGGGGGCCGACCTGCTATTAGAACCCCTAGGTTGTTAACATCTAAGACGTTGCGTAGTGGCCTCTGCAATCGTTTGCATCCAATGTTTCAGTTCATTTCAGTTATTTTTTTAACAAAGAATACTTTCAGCTTTTGGCATATTTTTTTAAAACAGTAGACCACAAAATTAGGTTAGAAACAGATTTTACATATGGCACTTCTCAAAGTGGAACACAGTGTATAAAAACAGATTATTTTTTACTTTTTCAGAAAAAAAAAAAACAAAAATACAATTTCTAATTATTTATAAGTAACCAAAATTAAATAATAATAATTGTCTGTCTATTCAAAATTACCAAATATTGATTTTTATCTAACAATAGTAAAAATTAGTGCACTCTATCAGAAGGATATGATATGAGTAAGTAATTCTGACCTCTAAAATAATTACTTAGCAAATTACAGCATTTCTTGTGCATATTTTCACGTTATGCTTTCGGGTATGTAAATTTAACGATTGCTGTTAAACACACTGTTTACAAGTTTAGCAAGTTAGTAAATAACTACATTAGTGATACACCAAACAATTTCCGTACATTGGAATTTGTTTACACAAGTAAATATTTGAAGAATAGATATACGGAATATAATTATGCTAAACGACTTAAAATATTTCTTGAATTTTTTTAAATTTTAGTAAAAAGAAAAATAAAACAATTTTTTTTTTTTCATGAATACTTTCCCTACGAGTGTATTATATGAATATATTTCCATAATATTTAGTCTTTTACTACTAAATCAATGAACATATGATGTAATAATCTCAAACGCACATAATTCAACAGAAGATTCCACAAGTTTAGCATTTTTTTTTCATGCTGATAAAAATGTTCCATCACTCGTTTCTAAATAATTCAAGTTATAGTCACATTAAGACCCATCGAACTTTCGTACGGTTATTGGCCTACTTATTTTAAATTAAGAAAATATTTGCAAAGTAACAAAACTATTTAAATCATAAATTATATTCGTAATACATATAAGGTACTATTGATAACATCTATTTGACTATATAACATTACAAATCACTTTTAGTATAAATGGTACCAGTCATATCGGCTTCTCTTGGAACTTCTGATGCAAAAACAGAATTTGTTGTCCATCTTACCAACCCCATCATTACAGTAGTATTAAACGCATAAGCAATTGCTAGTAATATAAATATTACAATATCTAATATAAATTAAGGAACCCATATAATGTACAATATTCATACTAAGTAATACATAAATAACTACCTACAAATATATTAAAAAATTAAAAGGATACGAAACATGGCCCTTTCCCATTTTTCCACCATATACAATTCGGTTACTAGTAAATACCTAAAGTACCAGTAATTAATAAAATTCCTTATATATGTAAACATTATGGCTGTTATTAACAAATCTTGATGGGATATTAGGGCACAAAGATGTTTTTAAAGTTTTACTCAAGTTTTTAACCTATAATAGCACGAAATTTTTAAATACTGAATCACCAAGTGATAAGTGAGCTAACACTGATATCAAAGCTTCTGCGAACCATTTTCTAATCTGTAAACTTTAATAAACAAATAAAATAAATTGCATAGCGATTAGTGAGACAGGGACAGGGATACAAAATCCTAACCTAAAAATTCTATGACATTGAAGTGAAGCAGGGGTACGTTCGGATGAATTTCGAATGTTGCCCAACCAACGGATCAAGGATCTATGTACTCTTTCTAATGCACGCACTAAAAACAGACGCAGACTGTGTAGGGCATTTTATCTGTACGCGCCTTGACTTTTTCATTTTTCACAGATCTTGATTTAATTTTTAATTTGACGGGAGCTTACACATATATTTTTTAATATGTATATTGTATACAACCTTAATTTCCTGCGCAAAATAAGGTCGTTTTCTTATTTAACATTATTTGTTTGCTTTTCAGTTAAACGGAATATTATTAAAAAATGTGCAATGCTGATATCTTTCGGGGCTATCTTAAGTGCTTTTTATTAATTATTTTACTAATTTGACCAAATCAAAATTTTGATTAAATAAATTTGATGGAAATTTAATAGTCTGACAGGAACCTATCCGAAATTTTTTAAATTTTTCCAAGAATCTTTGATTTACTCATAATTTACCTTACCAAATACGTTGGTATTAGCAACTGTGTCACAAAAAATTGCCTAGCTTTGCTCTTTGGATGATAACTTACATTGGCAACATTTTACTTTATGTTACCAATACCAATAGAAGAAAAAAAAGAAAAACGGAAAAATACAAAACGAAAACACAACTAAAAGACAACATGGCCACTTTGGATGTACCAAGCGAAAGCATTGCCTCCGACTCTAATTACTCAGAAAATACATCAAATTCTTCAAATAGTATACACAATACTATTAAAGATTTATCTGATTTTAAATTAAAAAACATATTGCAAAACAATAGTAACAGAAAATCCGTGTATCTCAGTGGAACATTTGATTCGAAGGAAGGAGATGCTATAGTAATTTTGGAAAAAACAGCGTTTGCCGAAGAAAATTTGAATAATGATAGTGACTATTTCACAGACAAAAGCCATTTAGAAAAGATTTTTCAAAATGATATATATGGAGATTACAAATATTTTACACGGAGCAAATTAAATAGTATGTATACTTACAAAATCTATTACTCTTTTTAAATAGTTTAATTTTTAGCTATTAAAACGACAATAATTCATCCTGCAACAGAAAAACACATTTTTAAATATTCTATTCAAAAGTGTCACATCGTAGATGAAACACCACAAATTTATAATGATATAGTCTTACCATACCTAACTGATGAGCAATTTAGTTTACAGGTACGTTCATGAATATTACATAAAAATGGAAAGAGGATAAGAGAAAGTTTGTAGTCATATGATGAATTTAATTCCTACATGATAATGTGCACAATAAAATAGCACTGTAGCATAGTTTAAAGTTCAAGAATCAAAATATGACTTATCTTATTTTAGTGGGTGTACAATATATTGGAACATAAATCTGAATCGGAAAGAATAGTTTTCGAAGATGTAGATCCAGTTAATGGATTTATTATGGTACCTGATTTAAAATGGAGTGGTGAAATAGACACATTGTACTTACTAGCTATTTCTAATAGAAGAAATATTAAATCGTTACGAGATTTGACTCAAGAACACTTACCTCTCTTGAAAAATATTAGGGAGAAGGGAATTGTAAGTATCTAATTTAGGTTGTACAAAAACGTGCATGCGTTTCATTTATTATTATGTTTCAATGTATTGTCCATTGTTAGCCACTACTTCTTTTGATGCTATCCCCCAATCGATCTAATTTTTCGTATATTCATAAGATTAGAGGTGCTTCTTAGCCAGGCCGTGTTTCATGGATCGGAACAAGTAGTAATTTGATGGAGCAATAGTTGCGCCTCCAAAATTAACTCAGAGTCGTAGTAATAGCAGTTAATTTTTAAAAAAAAGTTAAACATACTTCTCTCTTTTATTAGTAGATTTTTTTATTAAAGTTATTAACGTTTTTGATAAAATGTAGATCTAAATCCTTGCATTTGGCTTAACAATGTGAACAAAAAATAGTAACTGATATATCTTATTCGGTGGCATATTTATCTCTGAATATATATTTTTAAATTTCAGGAAGTTATAAAAAATAAATATGGATTAGAAGGTACACAACTGAGAATATATTTACATTATCAGCCTTCATTCTACCATTTACATGTTCACTTTTGCTACTTAAAGCACGAAGCTCCTGGAATATTAGCTGAAAGAGCTCATTTGCTTTCAAATGTGATAAGTAATATAGAATTACTGCCAGATTACTACCAAAAAGTGACACTTCCGTTCGTTGTCAGAGAAAACGACAAATTATTTTTGGCGTTAGAACAGAAAGGCATTTCAAAAAAACTTTGAAATGTCACTGAGTCTCGAGAAAAACTATAAAACCGTTATTTTAGAAGTAAGACCAAGACTACAGAGTGTGAATGCATTTGTTTCTTTGTTAAATTGTAATACAACTGTTAAAATTATTTTGGACGAGGAACAAATTAAAATAATAGACGATGATCGAGTTTCGACGATTCTTTGTAAAGGCATTAATGCGGTACCGAACAGTTTATCGTCTTTTAAACAAACCGACAATTATATCGTATTCAGATTTGTGACAAATAATAGTTTAGAGAATTTGGGAAGTTTTAAAACTGAGCTGTTACAAAATACCGTGGCTAGTATCGAGTCCCTCAGTAACAAACCCGTGCTTACCAAAGGTGTCAACTACACAGTCCAGTGTATTAATTGCAGCAAAGCTTTAAACGTTCCCATCAAATTTCAAAGAATATTGCCCTTACCTTCAGACAGTTCTGATCCGAACGAATGGTTTTGCCATGCACAGAGTAGCAAGGATAACGTGTCTTTAGATCCTAAGGAAACCGATATTTTTTACACACATTGTTATCTCCACATAAACAAATCCAATTTGTTGAACATTAAAGGAAACGATAAAGTAATCGTTTGTAAGTTCTGTTTGAATTGGCTGGGAATTATTTACAATCAAAACACGCTGAGGATATGGCTCAATACCGTGAAGTTTTTAGACAATAATTCTGCTATATCAACGGACAGCCTTAGTGATATTTTTCATTCGTTCAAAGACATTTTTAGGCATTCCTTGTATAATTCCTTAAAGTTAATGATAGTTTGCCAAACATCGTCGAGTCAGAGTGATTCTGTTTTAATTTGGGTGTTAGAAAAAAAGCTGCAAATTTTCATTGAAACTTCCGGCGGCCTCAAAAAGTTTGACGTTGCAAAAGTTTTATTTAAATATGCGAAAAGTGAAGACGAGGCATTTAAACAGTGGCAAAGTGACTCGATGATTAATCTTTTAAACATATCCAAGCCTATGATGCTTAATACAATAAAACATCTTCACAAATTTAACAAAATGCTACCACCGTTGTACTCAAAGTCTAATGATTTAAGTGTGTCATATATTTTTATGTACGAACCGTTTATTGAGTAAATATTTTATAAAAAGTATTACTTAAAATTTGTTTTATTTATTAAAACACCGCTCTAATAAATGCAACATAGAATATAGAAAATAATAAAATAAAGTTCTACCACCTGATAAAACACCCAGTCCTGGAAAATGGCAGGATTTGTGCAGATTAATTGCAGTCCCTGTTCCCTCCATACCTTCCAACTTCATATAATTTATAATTGACATTTTTTTTAATTTTGGTAATTTTTAACGTGTCCGTACTATGTAAAACGTAGAATATAATCTAATTTTCAACATCCTTTTAGAGAAAAATGATTGAATTTATTACCCTTTATATCTGCTGTTGCAATTAAAAAATATTTTAATTTATTTTGCTCTTTTAAATTAAATTGGTTCTCCAATATTTGCCCGCGATGAGTATTTCATTAATTGAAAAGTAACTCTTACTCGGTGGAATTCAAAACATTGTTAAATTTTTATTAGTTCTATTTATATGCCATCCAACTTCCATTGTTGTCAATATCAATGAGTGCGAGAGAGACGTAAAGCCGTGCATTCGGGTTGCATATCTTAAACATTGGCGTTATAAAGATAAGAGGGGCTTTCGTTTCGGCAAAATTAGTACCTATTAGCAACTAATATCATTTCAGAGTAACTCTAAGTTTCTTAATAGTTACTATTTTTGCCAAATCGATAGGCCCTAAGAATATGCATCAGTTCCAGTGTGTATATGCTACAGGTGAATTAAAATAGGTATAGGCGGTTGTCCTGCTCTGGCCAAGTTCCCAAAAGGGAAGGCCATAAATATAAATTAAAGAAGAAGAACAGTCGGGTGCCTCTATCTATACTCTTCCTTTTTCTATGGTACTGCCATTTAACTGTGTCAGAATTGACGTTTAGACTTGGACTTGAATTTTTTCTAATTTAATTAAGTCAGGTGGAAAATTAAATATTATTCCAAAAACTTATTTAATAGCTGTTAGATGGATTCTGGGGATTATTATACTGACTTTTAACACAAGTCATCTGGCATCACCATTAGTTTCTGTTCTTTTCCTGGATGTTCTGTGGTGGTTCAAGTTTCAAGTTATAAAGGTTATAAACCAACAAATCAAAGTTTAAAGTTTATTATTCTAATTTCAATATAGATTTATTCTATATTAAATATTATGTGACTGCAAATTTTATTGTAAATTAATTTGTTATTCGAAAATTTAAATATATTTATATTATTAATTGAGGAAATTACTCTGCACAGTATGAGTGTATTTTCTAGAATTCGTGGATTTTTCTCTAGGCACAGAAATAAATTTATTGTTGGCGGTATTATAATTACAGGATCTATACTTTTAACCAAATATGCACAGCAAAGATTAAGAGAGTGGCAAGAAAAGGAAACGATAGAATTCCTTGAAAGAAATCGTAAACAAAACCATTTTGAAAGTATTAGTCGCACTTGTGATCAGACAATATCTAATTTATCAGGGGCACTATATGAAGTGATTTTTAAAGCAATCAATACTGATGAAATAATTGAAATGTTGAAAACTAATCCAGAAAACAAATTGTCATTATGGAACGATTTAAAAGTACGTATAAACAATTGTTTTGATAAATTTGTGATGTGATTTTTGATTGCAGATATTAGTGTTTGCAAAATCAGGTGTTATAATTTATTCCACGGTAATGTTGGTTGTTACTTTGAGGATACAAATGAGTATTATTGGAGGCTATTTATATAAAGATCCAAATTCAATTTCTACTGAAATGCAAGAAAAATATTTATCGGTTTGTCAAACATTTCTTGATTTAGGTGTTTCTAAATTGTCGAAAGTTATGGAAATTGAGGTAAGTACATTGTTATATTCCAGACGAAATCATATATTGTCCTTTTTTTTATTGTTCAATATTCTGTTCTTAATGTAGCCAGAGTGCAATAGTACAAATAAGACGCTGTTTGCTGTGAAATATTTTAATATTAACATAACGTTAAAAATCATATTTTTTAGGTGAAGAAAATAATGGATGGTGTAAATTTAAAAAAACAGTTAAAACTAAGTGATTTGGAAGCCATTTATTGGTCATTACAAACAGCTGTTGCTACGAATAATGAAAACCCTATTGATAAGTTTAAGAGCTACATATTACATGAAAACTTAAATAATTCAAACGAAATGTTCAATAATATCGTAAGTATGTTATTTGTCATATAACTTCAATTAGTTTATATTTAAAAAGTATAAAGACACCCAATACTATTCTTTACTTGCATACAATTTCGTTTACATTTAATTTGTTAACTTTAGGGATATCGATATTCAATAAATATAGGGAGTTTTCTAAAGAGTGTGACACAGTTATAGGATATTCTTAGGTCAAAATAGAGCTTAACGGCTTAACAGACGTTAATGGGTTGTACTAAAAATTAAATATAATTTTTATTGGAATTGCTAGAAATTGTAGAAATTTTTTCTGTTTATTATATTATACCTTCTTATGAGCATTTAACGTGTAACAGGAAATGTGAGATCTTATTAGGCATGTACAAATTAATTTTAAATTTTCAAGTATGTTTTTGATTGTCTGTTTTCTAAATTTTAAAAGTGAAAGATACTAATAAGTTCTTTGAAGTTATTGTTCCTATAATCAAATAAATTTTATATTAAATACACTTTTCAGTTGCGTGACACAGCTGACTTTCTTGACAGCGATGAAGTCAAATCTCTGACAACTCACTGCATTAATCGAGGATTTATATTGTTAGGAGATCAGATAGCAGAGTTCTATACACAAAATGGTACAATAACGCTTCCACACACAGAAGTCGACCGTTTCCAAAATCCGTTTGAAATAAAGAAACCTTTGGCTAAACTATTGCCTATTATTAACGGATTACTTTCAAAACAGTCTTTTCCCCAACTTTTAATTCAACAGTTAATTGCAAGCGAAAAATTACAAATTTTAAGTGCAAACATATATGAGAGTTTATTGTAGGAATATTTGTTCAATATGATTTAGGTGTACATATGGTGTTATAAAAAGTAAATTAGTGGGAATATTTATAAGTTTTTATTAATAAACAAATGTTTTTATTTAGTATGACTATTTAAAACCCTACCTATTTGATAGAACCCTTGCAAAAAAATGTATACTTAACGAGCACATGAAGCCAGGGTATAGTTAGTTACATTCAGAAATGTGGCAAGCAAAGCTTTAGATTTGACACCCTATATTTCTAAGTTCATTTTGATGTACGTAAATGTGAGAAGTTAATTAGTTCTACCCTGTATGTTCCATTTTTGTTTGGATGTACGTAAATGCGACAAGTTAATTAGTTCCACCCTGTATGTACCGTTTTTGTTTCTTAGGAACTTTCTGTTTGCACTAGAGCAAACAAATAAAGAAAAATAACTAAATGTCAAATAAAATTTGAGTGTCAGTGAAAAGTAACCGTAGTGTTTATACATGTGGACAGGTTTTTATTTTTTGCATCTTCTACGTACGTGTTAAAAAAATATAAGGGGAAATTTTGGTTCTTTTAGGAATATTTTATATTTCTACAATAAGTCCATCAAGAGGATTATATGAGTATCTGTTATCGAAGCCCAGCCCACTTGAAAAGTATGTATGACGTAATTTGTTTTTTTTATTTTACGTATGTACTTCATTAATTACATTTTTAATTGGTAAGGGTAATCTATCAAATGAGAGTAATCAGTTTAATCAGGAGCAATGTGAAAGTCGATTCATATGGAATGAAATGTTGGCGCTGGCAATCTTTAGTCAATCAAAATGGCGGAGCCACTACGTTTACTCATTTCTATTCAGTTCGTATACGAAAATCTTATTTAAATTTAATGAAAAAAAGTTATAATAAGTACGTATTTATGCCCTATCTAGAGTCTTATAGCTGTTTTTATGAAAGTAATTATCCGAAATCATAATATACCTAAGGCATGCATAGTTAAGGTACTACCTATTTTTTTTATTTATACTTAATTTTCTTTTATAAAAGAACATTTTTTATTGATGTTATACGTATGGTAATAAGAATATGAATATAATAAACATTATTTTATCATAAATTAGGAATATATCAATTCGTTCTAAAATGTATTTTAAAAGATGTAATTCGTGTTCAATTTCTGCATAGGTCCTGTATAATTTTTATTGTCCAAGTAAAACCACTGATCGCACCTGGTACAAGGCCACAACGTGATCAAGTTTATTGTGTTTTGGTTTTCTCACTTTTCTCCTAGAATATGTCTTGATTTATTAAAGACCACATCGTCAACATACTGTGCAAGAATCAGCTATGTCTAGGACATAACACGTTATTTCATTTCTTTATATATCACAAATACTTGTATTTAGGATTAACTGCAACTGTTAAAAACATTAAGAATGGCTCTTTGTAAGTTATTGAATCCCTAAAAGAAGTCAGTTTTGATTGTTTTGAAAAAATGTCATTGGTGTACACTTTTTGTATCTAACAAAATTTGGAAAATATAAAATTAAAGTAGAGTACCCTCCCTCAAACCAAAGAGTTGATCATGTATCTGCAAAATATATTATTTTAATCAACTGATGATACAATCAGCCCTATGCTGTAAAAACATTGAAATTAATATCAACCTTGAAGTGATTTCAATGAAAATTGATTTGTTCTTCAATTTTGGAGAAAATTGGTATGCACTAAGAACACTTGCTTACAATACGTTGACATTAAAATTGATTGAAATTTATTTCAAGTTTATTTGTGGCAACGTCGCTATTTGCTATATGGAGATACCGGTGATTATGGAAACAATCTATATGAACAGAAACGGTGACATCAGTCAAAAATTGTATTATAATATTCTTAATCATCAGTTTTGTTATTCTGAATTTATAAATTGCATATAAACGGTAAATATCACAACATAAAATTAACAAAACAATTTCTAGACTTATTTGTTACTTTTAAATATATCCCATCAAAAAAAGCCACCCGTTCGCAATATACAAAATTTTTGGAAATAATTATTGATCAGACGGATATAATAAAATGATAAGAAGAGAAAGCCTGGGAACGTATTTCTCAAGAGGTGAATGCAATGAGAGGAGCAGTAAAAATGCAGAAGGATCGAAAAAGGTAAGGGAACTTAAAAATAAGTAAGCACTAAGCTTATGTGAATTTACCAGTCAACAAAATATTTTGCTTGTGAACATACTTATCAGTTATTGCTCTTTGTATAAATCGTATTATAAGTATTTACCTACACTTAAAAAAGACAAAATGACAGCATGTATTTATAATATGTAATAGATACCAAATTGCAACTTTTAAATTAAATTACTAAGTATATTTTAAATTACAGGCATTTATAGAATGTATACCCCATATACCAGGAAAAATAAGAGGTGAAAAGCCCCTTACCGACATAGAAGAAAAATATGCAAACATTACTGGATTGTTTGCCTCGTGTTCAGGTGTAAATATTCCAGAGTTGGGTTTTGGAAAAAGAACCAAAGTAAAAGCTAAAGCTAGGAAAATTCACTTAATAATAAGAATAATTAAGTGGAGGTGGCATTGCTGTAATTGAAATTTTAACAAATCTAGAAAAAAAACTTTTGGAGGTTTTATTAAAAATTTAATATATGGGCACCCCCAAGTTATAGAGATCTAGGAAAATCTTTCAGTATGAAACTTTTTACATTAATTTTTTATTATTTATTATTAATTATTTTGCATTTTCAGCTAAATCATTTGAGTGGCATGATATGTTAAGGAGTCACATCGAAATGTTAGAAAAAAACTTATAACAATTATTTAAAAAATAGTATATTTATTTTGAATGTGGCATTAGAAAACTTGTTAAAATCTATAAGTAATTAAAAACACTTAAATATTAAATTAAAAATATTTTATTTCATATGGATATTTTTATTAATTTTGAATTAGCCTATTTCCTATAATATACGGCCTTTCTGAAAATTATTTCTTCTTATAATCTATATGTATAATTATCTTCTTCTAATTCGTCATTTTCATCATCATTCAACATTTCTAAAATAAAATTAACATTATACCTTTGTTAAATCGAAGTAATGCTACACTTACCATTATAATCATCCAAATTTTCATATCAAAGGATATACAGGTTATGTAATATTGCACGGGAATAAATTATTTGTGCTACCCTAGCTGGAGCAACAAGAATTGTTGATTAAATTGGTTTCAAGTTTCGTAACGTGAAGGTTTTCGACTTCCGTTACAATTCTTGACATTTGTCAACCTTGATCTGCAGTTTTATCAATTTCTGCTTTAGTGCATACCAACTTTTGAAGTTTTCAAGGTTACTTGACATCATTTCAAACCCTTGACAAATTTCAATCAATTTGTTTTTTACAGCATAGTAAACCTCCATTTTTATTGAAATGTCTGTCTAAATGTCATTTTTTCTTATAATTTCAACCTTGATATGAAGTCAATGTTCATACAGCATAGGGCTGATTTTTTCATATAATTTCAACCTTGATATGAAGTCAATGTTCATACAGCATAGGGCTGAATATGATACTACCATTCCATCTTACAATTTGATACTAACATTTCATGTTTTAAAACCACGTTAACGTTTTAAGAAAAATATGAAAACAACTTGTATATATCAGTTGGTTACGAAATATTCTGCTTATATATATATTTTTGAGATCTGGGGGAAGGCTACTCTTATTTTAATTTTCTATTTCTGAAATTTCATTTTCAATTTTTTCATCATGGACCTAAAAATCATTCCCTAAATAACTCAAAATATAATGACTAATTTCACCAATCACCACCTGCTTGACATGATTTTTCAGTATTCTAAACTCACCTATTTGCTGATTGATGTGTCCTTGAAGACAGAAGTAATGAAATAAAATAAATAATAAAATTGAATGCCCTATTTTATTTCTGAATAAAAAATGAGTCACCCTGTAAATACACACAGTTTTATATTTATAGTTTGCAGCCCAACTTTATCAGTTATCAATTTCAGCTTCCCAACAAGTTAGGACAAGTTTGCATTTTATAAAGACATCATTATGTTGTTAACGTATAAACTTATGTGACCTCTCCAAATTTGATTTACTTTAATAGAAGTTTGGTAGGTATTCAGATTCATTGTCGTGCTGTGTCCAAATTTCTTATTAGTTTAGTGAGTAGTAATTTAATGTTTTCTATGTGATGTTCTATAATAAATCTGAATATAATTCTATAATAAAACTGAATATAGTCAATTTAAAATCAATTATATATATGCACACATTTTACAGTAATTGTTATTACAATATTGCTCACATATAAAGGCCAGATGCAAGATTGAAAAATTAACGTAGTAACTTGATCTTTACTATCAAATAGCAGAGTGTATGGATTTACCTGATAAATGCATATACCTATATTGTTTTTTATTAGTGTGTAGTTAGTTAACAAATATTTTAGATAAGATAGTAAATTGATTGATCATTTCCGATTAATACTTCTGTTCTGTTTGTGCTTTTAACTTTTTTTTGCAAATATTGCTACATATTTTTCCCAATCATCCTCATCTGCTCGTTTTAAAGCTTCAGTAGGCTGTTATAGATTATTTTTATTTCTTTCCAATTTTAACTTTCCAAACATATTGTATACAAAGTGTGACTTAAGTATGGAAAAATACTCCTATCGCTGTTTTATTGAATTGTTTTAAGAAAAGTTTCAATTTTCTCTTTATTTTTTGGATATTTTGCCACCTATGAAATATTTAACAAATTAATGAAATAATCTTATATTGAAAAATGCAGACAAATACAAAACATCAGATTCCTTTTATAAGCAACATATCAGATATGTTTAGTTTTGACAAGTTTCTATTCATCCCTTTGAAACAAAACTTTGTGCCAAGTCAGCAAACTGAGATTGCTTCGTTAAAAAAAATGTAAAATTTTATGTGTAGTTGAGGATTCACAATATTTCTTGAAAGTGAATAAAATTTGTTTACTATGATTTGAGTTGACAACAGGTAAGATTGGTATTATGATATCGTTATTGATAACATCTCATTCAATTTCATTCATACATTTTTGAGTACAGGTGTTAGTAGTTTGTGACCAGGTGTGATTTGTGGTCATCCACAGCATTATTAATTATGTCTTTCATTTGTGGTAAGCTTTTTTTAATAGAAAAAGAGATCGTATCATACAGTTCACTCGATAATAGATGAAAAGAATCTCTGAATATCATCTGTAGCAGATGTAGTTAAAATATATTTAACTATTACTGAGGTGAAAGCTAAGTCAACGGTTTTACACTTTGTTTTATACTCACTTGGTGAAGGATCATTTTGTTAAACTTGCAATGGTTTTACCTAATTCTTTGTGGTGTTATATAAATTTTTTAATTTCAGGCTGTGCCAAAGAAGACAAGAAATGTAACATATTTATGTTGTTACAAAGTATTTCTTCACGACTTTTCGGAAAAATGAACGGTAACAGTACACCAAATGGAGACAGGTGCTCCTGCGACAAATCGGAGCTCGTAGAAAGCGACAGTAGTAATTCTGAAGCTCCAATGTCGTCGAAAGATAAAAAGAGCAAGATCAGTTTATTCAACCTCAGACGTGCAAGGCCTTTGCATTTTACATCAAAGAGAAATAAAAAGTCACCTCCACTCGCTACATCACCCAGTACAAGTACCAATTCGATAAAAAAATCTCCAAAGTGGAGCATTAAATTTAACTGTACCAAAAAAGAGCCCAAAGTTGCCTTCAATCAAGAAAATCAAAATTGTTGCAGATGTACTTGTTACAGACGTACCAATGATCATTTCTCAGGGACTAATGCGGTTGCCGCTAGCGAAACTAGTGAGAAAACGCCAACAGAGGCTTCCGTTAGCAGCAGTAGTTCAAATGTAGATGTAAGGGATTACAGCGAAAGTCGAGCAGCGCAGGCGGAGGTATCAGATCAAATACCCAACATTGAGATTGAACAAACTGATGGAATTAGGGGTATTTATAGTACTGCACCTGCTACTAGTTCAATCCCGAATATTATCATTAGCGCACCTTTTCTGGATATGCAATGGTGAGTTAACATATGTTTTATCATATATAACTTTGAAATAAATTGTCTGTAAACATAAACCTCAGAATGTCTTGGATAGAAAATATTTTATTAAAAGTTAAAACAATTTTAAATTATTTATCTCAGCGCCTTAGCTACGCAACATTAAAGGAGAGAACGCATTAGGTGATCCCATGTTTTATAATGTATACTAAACGTTCCCAAGCTCGTCTCGCTCGATCTTTTCCAAAGAATCTCGCAATGTAATCGACAATTTAAAGAAGAGCGTACAGGATTTTGTAAAAGACCGGGATCAGGTCAGCCCAGAACGGACCGCGATGCGCCTAAAGCGTTCTCTGCTTAAGTGTGCACTATTGCCAATTTTTTAAAATTAATTGCGCAACAGTAACAAAATGGTTTGGAACGCCAGCCAGGTATATATATTCTGTCAAAAAAGTATCCAGAATTTGTCAATAATGTACAATATGTTCAATTAATTATCAAAATTTATTTAGTCTCCCTTAACCCTTTCACTGCTCCAGACGTATTTATTCGCTAAAAATTTATAGGGCTCAAACTACTCCAGACGAATTAATTCGCTTGAATAGTTAAATTGGATCAGGCTGCTCAAACCGTATATATTCGCAACCATGCGCATTAGTGACTCGGTTGTTGCAACTGGTATAGGTAATTTTTGCGGGCGGAGCTTATAGCGATTGTGGCAATTATTTTTGTGGAAGGAGGTACTGGTAATAATGCCAAGATTGTTCATCTCTCTTTCAGTTTCTGCTTTATAATGAAATATTAATAAATTAATCTATTACAATTATTTTGAAACGTTTAAACATATTTTAATTTAATTTAACACAACATAATGTAAAAATATAAGTAGTCTAACTGCTCCAGACGAATATATTCGCATGCGGTAAATTTTCGCGCACGGCGCGGTAGCTACGTTCAGACGTATTGCGCAGCGAAAGGGTTAAAATGGGCTCCATTTGAAGCAATAAATTTTCCCCGCTATAGGCTGTTCCTTCATTGGTTTTTGTTTTTTCTTCCACGAAGTGATAATTTTAGTCAGAAGAAGAGAAAAAGTCAGCAGGGGCCATATCTGGTGATTACGTTGGCTGCTCGATGACATTTGTTGCGTTTTTGGTCAAAAATTCATTCAAATTATAGTGCATTATGGTGGCTAAAAATCCAAGAATTGTCCTTCCATAAATCTTGTTTTTTGCTGTGGATACTCTCTCAAATGCCTTAAAATGTTCAGAAAATATTCGTTGTTCACTATTTTTCCATCCGCAAGGAATTCTGTGAGAACAACACCACAATAGTCAAAGTTGAGACTTTGACGTGGTTTTTTTGGTTTCCGCTCAGAAAATCATTCTGAAGCTTGTTGGCTCGTTTGCATGTAAAACTCGTAAACCCATGTCTCGTCACCCGTTATAATGCATTGCATGAATGTAGATACCGAATTAGCTCGTTCAAGCATGTCTTCAGCAACACCTTTTCAATGCTCTTTTTGAAGAAAATTCAGCTCTTTTGAAACCAACCGTGCTGTGACGCATTTCATTTCCAAAACCTAAATTAAAATAGTGCGAATTGATTCGTGGGATATGTTTAGTACATATGCCAGCACTCTCAAACTATACAAGCACCATTTCCTTCACTTTATCAATATTTTCTTCGGTTGAAGATTTTGAAGGACAACCATAACTATTGCTCGACCATGTTTGATTGCTTTATACCATTCCTGTGCTTGAGTTTTCGATACAACTGATTCATGGTACGTTTTTCCCAACGTTTTCAACGATACAGCATAAGTAGTTCCGTTGGTAGCACAAAATTTTAGGCAAACTCTTTGTTCAATACCATTATCCATAGCAAAAATCACGGAGCACACTAATTAACAAAATTAACAGCTGTAAACAAACTACTTGATGGATCCTGCTCAAACTTCGTATCAAAGTAGACTAGTGTTACCAGTTTTCCATCAAAAAAGAAATTTAAATCCACTACGTGGAATTTTTAAATGACAAATTCTAGATACTTTTTTGAACTAATGTATTTCATATTTCGTATTAAATAGACTAAGAAAGCACATTGAAAACTATAGTTAGCTAAAAAGTACCCATTCCAGGTTTTTTATATTTTCAGATACACATATCTGCTATTTAATCAATATTTGAATATTTTGTACTAATTAATGGCCTTACATCTATAAAATGAGGCACACTGTATATTTAAATAAATTTATTTAGAATTACGGTGAAGAAATAAGGACATGAAAATATTTTATCTAGCTCGTTTGTTTGGTGCATTGGTATATAATACACTTGCTTATAAAACATAATGACAGAATCATTGTGTATTTAATTGCTGTAAATTGATGTTTGAGTGGTATTGTTAAACTTCTGAACTGTAATCTTTTATAAACTTAAAACATGTTTATTGGTGATATCCAATTGACTTGTGGTGTGGGATGAACTAAAAATAACCCATTAGAAGTTTGAGCCAGCCATTTATTAATTCAGTCAAAATTATACATTCCTATTTTCAACATGAAAATTAATACCTAATGTAAATAAGTATAAAAAAAGTATTAATAAGATTTTACTGAGAACAATTTTGTTTACTAAAATTAAATTTGTTCAAATTAAAGGTCAACCGCAAAATGTTTTTCTTTACCAGTGATTCACATTTATAATGATGTTATTTACAAGTTTGAACACATGACTTGATAACATTGTTTGATAACTATGTTGTGTTTTCTCTGAGATAAATATGAAACAGTAATGGAGTCTCTGAACAGACTAATATGCAGGTATTTTAAAAAAGCTTTCTAATTATTTTATACAAATTGTAACATTGTATTCCAAATTTGGTTTACGTGTATTTTGTGTTTGTTTATAGTTTTAATATGTGTGATACAGAAAATCGCAACGATGTAGGGGAGTGTGATATGAATATATTGAATTCTATTCAAATGCTGGTTACAGATGGTGCGAGTTAATATAATTTTAAGTCTCCAAACCCAGCTCGGGTAATTTAAAAAGTTGCCAGCAACTACTATCGAAATAAATGAAATAGACCCCTGAGTTTGGAAAACCTATATTAAGAAAACGTAGAAGCAAAAAAATTTGAAATTTGGACCAAATATAGCCTCACTATTACTCTATTGTGTGCTAAAATTTCAGTTAGTTTCGTTGTGCCATTTTTTAGTTATTAATGAAAATGTTGAAAAAATCACGGTTTTCTGCCTACAAAATTGATACATCTCACTTTCACTCGTAATTTTTTTGTTGATTGATAAAAAAATTCCAAATTTTTACTGATGATAAGCCAAACTATTGTCTTTAGTACTGTGAAGGTCATTTGTCTCAAAACCTCTTCTTTTTTTATTTTTAAGCCAAACAGAAGGGAGTGCTATTTGTAAACAGCAATCTGAAAAACTGAAAAGAATATCATATTTATAACTCAAAAAGTAGATAAACGTTCTTAACTACAGGAAACGCTAATACACATTGCTTGTTTTCTGTTTGGAAAACTTTATCATTTCACTATCAAAACATTCAACGGAAATGACTAAAGAAATACTATCACATGTATTAAGTACTTAAATAAATAATCTCACCTAGAGCCTGGTCTGGAGAATTTGCCGGTTTATAATAGTTCATTTTATTTCTTTTCTTTTTCAACAAATAGCAAGCAGATAGATAAAGGAACAACAGACCAAATTTTGCGTATCATTTTTTTAGGATGCGAAGCTCACACGAAGACTGTGAAGAGGCGGCCCGACTGGCTCGAGCCCGGGAGATAGAACAAGGCGTAGCGGCGCCTGCCAATTTCAGATCGCTAAGGAGGGTACAGTTGCTCTGCTCGGACGTCGAGGCGGACTGTGGCCAATCGCAGATACCGAGACGGTTACAGTTGGTGTGCCCTCCGGATCTTAGTGTCGAGTCGCTCAGGGCCCTCTTTCAAAATAACGTCACCTTGACGTCGTGCCCGCTGGACACCATACCTGGTTGTCACACTCAGGTGGACTTTATACATTGCCTTGTGCCTGATTTGTTGAATATTACTAACTGCAGTTTTTACTGGGGTAAGCGAACGATAATAATTATGAAAAATTAGCAGTCTTTTACAAATTTATACCTGTACTATTTATTACGTGATAAATAAGGGTTATTTTCCTTATCTTTCATATTTATTTATTTTTTTGACATATATTTGTGAAATATTCAAGAGGAATTTCGTTAATCTTTTTATTTCCGAGTGTTTTGAATAAAAAAAAAGTGTGAAATAATTTTTGCATTGTACTTAATTTGGTCTTAATTTCAGGAAGATATTTTAGTCTTGATTTGTATTAAGAGGGCTCTATAGCAAATAGCCAACCAGCAATACATTTTTATAGATTTTATTGCACAGTTTGTCTAAATATGAGGGGAAAATTATGTCACGTTAAGTTTCTCGCAACAATTTATGTTTAAATTTTGAAAAAAAACGTTTTTTATTGGAGTTGTGTGATTATTTAAACTTTGTTTATGCTGAAACTACTAAAGGTGCCTACTTTGACAAGCCTTAATTTAACTTATGAGGATTCTATAGCAAATAGGCACTCAGCAATACATTTTTATAAATTTTAGTACACAGTTCGTCTAAATGTGAATCAATGCACAAATAACAGACTTTCCCCCATTTTAACGCAGATTTTCTATAAAATGGACTTGGTTTGCAACTCAAATAACTTTTTGGTGGAAAGAAATTTGTAATTTACAATGCAAATTACAAATTTCTTTACAACAAAGAGTAATTTGAGTTTCAAACTAACTCCATTTTATAGAAAATCTGCACTAGAATGGAGGAAAGTCTGTTATTTGTGCATTAATTCATATTTAGACGATCTGTGTAATAAAATCTATAAAAATGTATTGCCAGTTGCCTATTTACTATAAAGCCCTCTTAATATTATTTTCAATTCAATAATATTTACTTATACATGGTGTAACAATGAACGTGGGTCATATTTATACAGAGGCTGCTTTTGATCTCAGGAAATACTAAAGCGTAAGACATTTCAGGAAAGATGGATCGATACGAGGCCGAAAGGTTACTGGACGGGAAACCAGAAGGGACTTTCCTGTTGAGGGATTCCGCCCAAGAGGAGTTTCTGTTCAGCGTCTCGTTCCGCAAGTACAGCCGTTCCTTACACGCCCGTATAGAACAGTGGAACCACAAGTTCAGCTTTGATTCTCACGACCCTGGTGTTTTTACCTCCGATACAGTATGTGGCCTTATCGAACACTACAAAGACCCGAGTAGCTGTATGTTTTTCGAACCGGTGCTGACTTGGCCTCTACATAGAAATTTCACGTTTTCCTTGCAGCATTTGGCTAGAGCGGCGATTGTTAGTAGGTTGACGTACGACAACATAAACCAACTGCAATTACCCAAAACCCTCAAGACCTACTTAAAAGAGTACCATTACAGGCAAAAGGTTAGGGTGGAACGGTTCGACGACGACGTCCAGTGGTTGGAGCTTAGAAATATGCCGACCTGATTGATCGGCCTGACTAAATTTTGGAAGTTTCTATACTTAACGGAGGAAGTAAGTTAGTCGCCTCTAATTCGTAAGACTATTTATTGTCGTTTCTATTTGCCGTCGCAAATACACATTTCTTTTTTATGAATCGTATAAATATAAAATTAACATATCAGTTTTGTATTAAGTACTAATTGTCTAATATCACGTTTGAGTTGAAGTTTGTATATTTCGTTCTTGCCAGGCTTTTTGAATAAAAAAAAAATTATATGGAGTGAAATGCAGACACCGTAAAATTTATACGTGGACGAAAATTTATCATAAATTTGTTTATTTTCTCTGATTTAAGGAATTCATTACAAGAGATTAGCCAAAAGTGCGAAATAAATTTGTTATTTAATAAAAAATGAATAATTTTATAATCCGCGTGGTGGAAAAATGGAAGAAATTTCATCAAATTATGGTAAATTTTATAGAGCTGCATAAATTCAAGAAATTCGTTACTGTGCTGTTTCTTTAAATAGAAATTCTTATTATTTTGACACATTTAAGAAAATTCACAAATATCCTTTTGCTGCGTTAATGTTACGAAATAAAATGTTTTGCAGAATTAGTTATATTAATAAATATAAGTAATGGGATGTTGAATCAGTTCTCGCTGTTTTTTTTGTGGAAATTGATGCTTTATTTAAAAAAATTGGTAAAAAACATGTCACTGAAAGTACTGTCCAGGCATTATTTTTTCCCATCTTTCTGGCAGCATTTTGATGGTTGCTTTCGGTGTGCAGCAAAATAAAACGCTCTCAACGGTAAAAATAAAAGTATTTTTATTGAAAACAAATTAGTGAAGAATACGTGTTGTCGGGGTGAGCTAGAGAGTCCTCTTGGTGTGGAGTCGGTAGGTATTGAGTAAGCATCTGGTCGCTGGCGCCAATCCGCCGTGGTCCCTTCCTGGAACCCTGGTGCGTCCGGGCGGCATCAAGCTGGCGCTCTTGACGTAATACTAAAAGTGGGTCACTTGCAGACATGTGTATCCCCAATTTTAATTCTACATCGGGAAAATGACACGTCTCTTGAGGCTATCTAAGAGTCGCCCCAGTTTTTGGCACTTTCATAAGAATGTAAGTGCTCCAGAGCCAGGCTATGTGCCATCGATCGGAACAAATGATAATCAGAAGGGACAATGTCTGGTAAAATGGCATTTCCAAGTAGTTTTTCACCGGTTTTGCAACATGTGGCCCAGCGTTGTCATGCTACAAAATCACTTTGTCGTATCTTTGCTCGTGTAGTGGTAGTTTTTCCTTCAATGTTCGTCTCAAATGCATCAATTGTATTCGATAGTGATCCCCAAAGTTCCCTTTAAGCCACGCGGGTGCGTGGGAACGCGCTAATTTTCCGAAAGTTGCGCAGCCGTTTTTGTATTCTGCGTACAATGGGCTTGTTCACCATTTTTTAAGTTTAATTTTTTAAAAGAATTGCCTCTGAAAATGGCAAAAATTCAAATTTTACAATTGCTTTAAAATGCAGTTTTTAAGATTTATTTAAAAAAAAAAATTGTGACTTCAACCACAGGCACAGGTCTGCCTTCCACTTCTGAACATTTTTGCTCCCATATACTTTTGTACCGCGTAGTCAGCGAAAAAATTAGAGGAAACATTGGTGATCTCCCGTGAGACTTCATTTGGGTTGAGCATAATAAACTACACCCAGCTGATCCCACCAAATGCAGAGCAGAAGCTGTTGATGCACGGCCAGGCTTATCCCATAATTTTCTACGCATAGGTTTATACCTTAAAATACCTTTCCTTTTCTCCCGTTGAAGCAGCTGTTCACACATGCAAGAATGGCGTTCAACTTTTCTTGGCTTCAACTAGTATGGCGCTCAATATTCTTAATTTGAAATCATTCTTAATGTTTTTAAATATTTGGAAACCATTGTGTGATCAACTCCTAATGATTCGACGAGTTCAGTTAGCCCCTGACACGAGTCTTTATGAAGTAATTCGGTGCGCCAGAACGTTCTTTATCTTCAAAGTCAAAAGCATTATTTTCGAAGTGTCTCAACCAATCTGCACGTCGTTTGTGATAGAAGATAGTTGCCGTAAGTCTCGATAAGAATTCTGTGTGCTTCAGCAGCAAATTTTTTCTCTGCAAATAGTCTTTGTTCGGCACAAAGTTCGATATTTTTAACGGCGAAATAACACTGAATTTCAAGCTGGCTTAGAGTGTCTGTTTTAGGTGCGTTACCATCTTAAACTACGCAGACGCACTTCTGGTAGCGCTATCTTTTGGAAAACGGCGAGAACTTATTCAACTTCCCTATTTTTAAAGGGCATAATAAAATTTCACTATAAAGGAGTATATTTATGGGTAAATGGGAAAAGCGGGCATTTTCACATTCTTACTCGTTACTTCTAAAGGAAATGTTTCAATTGTCGGCTGTTTTACCTATTTTTTGTATTCGTCAAAAAAATTTTTCACTTCAAAAAATTATTAGCCATCACTGTCGCAGTATGTTGGTCCTTGTGCCGTGGAATGCCGAAGAACCACCAACAGTCCAGCAGTGTGCAGCGTGTTAGGTTTTACGACTTTGCACCTCATCTTGGTTAATTACAAATTGAAACATAATTCAAATTTATATATTTTAAAAAGCATTTGTTGGATAAACTTGAAATTTTTAGAATAAACGTACTTCGAATGCTACTTCGCCTAAACTGAATAGAAAAGTTTCCAAATTAAGCCGTACTACTTTTTTATTCCAAAGGTTTAATGTAAGCAGATTATTGTTTTGTTCAATTACAAACGAGTCCAGTTTTCGAAATCCCAACTCACATCTGGGATTAAAAATGTTGATCCTGTGATACCGGATTTGGGTATCGTAAAAACGTTAATAAGTAATTTCTTTTTAGCAGAAAAATGTTTTATTTTCACATGGCCAGATTTTAGTTGCGAATAATACCGCTGAAGAAAAATCTGTGCCGAGGTCATTGCCGTTTGTTTTGACTTAGTCAAACGGGAAGTCCGATACAAATAATTTAATTTCAGGATTATTATGCTGGAACCATGTTTTAATGCGTTTAAGGAAAATTGCTGCCGAACTTGAAAATGAGCCCTTTAGAGGTGTAGATTCGAATTTTAGCTATCAGTATTATGCATTCTTGTGATCCGTGAATGATTAATTTATAATCGTTTTAATTATTTATTGGTACATTGATAACGATTATCCAAATTCTGCATTTTAGTTCTCTGTTGGGGCCAAAATATAAAAAAATAAGGTTTGGTTGGCGGAGATTGAAAAGTTTTGTTTACTATTTTTAAAAAATAGGTGCCAAACTGTTGATTTTTAGACATTATAAAAGAAATGTTAAAACTTGTGATTCTATATATGAAGAATTGTGAGGGATTGTATATAAACAATAAATAGTATTTTTATTTGAAATGATTACTCATAATAACGCTTTAAGTATTACATTTACATTTTTTAACATATATAATTATTGTTAATTGTTAGGCGTGATGTTTCATATATTTTTTTTTTATTTTCAAACTGTTGATTATCCGATAAGCTGTTATAATTAAATTTGTAACGTGGAACATCACTTAGGGCTAGTTCAAAGGAGGATTTTGTAATAAACTTTTTATAAATCAAAAAGTTTGTGCAATGTTTTAATTTATAAGTGGTATTGTAAAATACTTTATGTAAAATAGCGTAATTCATCTTGTGATTATTAAATGATTATATTTTACGTTTGTTTCATATTTTCGATACCAGGATTATTTATTAAACTTTCCTTATTTAAAAGTACATACCTATTTTACTACTTGTACATTTTGTAGGGCCGTATATTACGTGTATGGGTTGTTTCACGACGAAATGTATAAGGCAACCTAAAACTGATGGTTGGCCGCATAATAATCATTAAATTCTCATTTTTCTTCAAAATTTAAAATGATTGCTCGCCAAACGTCAGACGATTTCCATTGTTCTATGATTCCATGGGTCAGGAGTGATACTTTTAAGCATACCGAGGTCCTTTCGATTTGGCAAAAATAACTCAGCAGCTAATAGTACTAAGGGTTGCTCTGAACTGCTAACAGGTACTATTTTTACCAAAACGAAAGCCCCTGGAAGTAGCCTCGCAAAAGCTGGGCACATAAAAAAAGATAGCTTCTATGAACGTATGTGCTATGTCTCTCTCGCCGAATGTGATTGGCTGTTCCTCTCACAGGCGATCAGTCATAAGCCAATCACGTTCGGCGAAAAAGAGATAACAGTACCTTAGAAACAGCTAACTCTCTCTTCAACTTTTAACACAACGCCATTGGCAGGCTACCTCCAGTAGGAACGCTCAGAAATATGCGTTTAAATGTAGTTCTGTGATCGTTGCTAAGGCATAGGAAGAAATAGAAGAAAATGACGACAGGTGAAATATATGTAAGGAGTAAAATGAACCGTTAATTATTAATTCAAGGCTTCCAAATTCGAATACATACAACGCAATACTTTCAAGGTTTATATTGGTTATTGTTATTGACAAATAATTTGTTTCTATAAAGTTGTACTGCTGTAGGGTGCACTGTATGTAGTGCTTAATTCTAAGTATTTTAAGACTGATTGTAAATAAATCGAAAACGCTATAAGAAGTGTGACGTGATGAGTAATCGGAAAGCCGCTCAAAGGTAACGTGTAATATACTCTACTTACTCTACTCCCTTTCTTTGAACAGAAAGTGATCATTATGTCAGATGTCAAAAATCAGAATATTTATGTCAAAATTTGTGCATAATGTGCATTTTTTAAATGTTGTAAAGATTATATTGTTTTTGTGTGTGAGCCTTGGAAATATTAAATGATAAATGATCAAAACAAAACTAATTTCGTTTTATAAATTATAAACTATAAGATGTTAAAAATTCGAGCTCTGAACAGGGATTCCTCATCAGATGAAGATGTTCCTGTTATTAGAAGAGAGGCACAAGTATAATAATGACAATTTATATATAATAATTTATTTCAATCTTCGTCTTAATTTTTAGGAAGAAATTGCTTTAGAATTGTATAATAAAGCATTGCGGTTACAAGGCAAAAATGATTTTTCAGATTCAGAATCTATACTCTTAAAGCTAATAGAGGAAAATATACCTTTGCTTGAAAATAATGGGGGACTGCCTAAATCAATGTCTACTTTGAAATTTTCATGTTTTGTGAACTTGGGCAATATTTATCTAAAAGAAAATAAAGTTAATAAAGCACTGGATAGTTATTTAACGGTAAACATATATTTTTCTATTCGTGAATGGTGCCATTAGTAATATTCTTTTCTAGGCATCAGAATTGGATGCAACAGATGTAACATTATGGTTTAAAATAGGCAAATTGTCATTGAAGGAAGAAAAATTCAAACAAAGTGCATATGCCTTTTCTAAGGTAATAATTATACCATTTATTTTCTAAGACATCTAAATATATATTATTATAGGGCTTGGAGTGTAGCGAGTCTCATTGGCCTTGTTTAGATAATTTGATTTCAGTATTGTTTGCAATAAAAGATACCGTAGCATGTCTTGTATATATTGGTAAGGCGCTAATGCTGGATACTGATTACTTAAAAGGTTTAGTCTTGCGGAAGCAAATTTATCGTGATAATCCAGCCACAAAAGAATATTATCAGTTGTATAATCCTGATTAGTAAGTTCCATATTTATTGTAAATTTTATTGTAATAATGAAACGTATTTTAGCATTTGGGAACCACCCTTAGATGTTACCGTTGATGAAGAAGATGAAAAACAAATTTTAGAAGAGGCTCAGGTTTTATGTAATCGTGTTATTGAGATTGAAAAGTCATACGGTCCGAAACCATTGCAAACCATAGCATTGCCGAAACCATTAGAAGAGTATTCATGGATATCTCTTGCAAAAACTGTAACGTATCTCCACCAATACATCACAGACAATGAAATGGTAAGTTTGATGATTAAATATGCAAATCTTAGCAACTGAAATATGTCTTGTTGGTGTTTTTGGCATTTAATCTAATGATAAAGAATACTGAAACTTAATTAATTTGTTCCATAACCATATTTCACAGTTATTTTATCTTACATTCTCATCTAAACATTTTTTGTTCAGAATGTAACTTATAGTCCTTGTTCTTGAATGTGGTAAATATTTTTCGATAGTAATTAATATAACTGTTGATAGTTTCTACACTTATATGAATCAGTGGCGGAGGAGCCACTGTCACTAAGATCCTCAATATTTCGACGCCACATATTTTCTGTTTATTTTAGCAGCTCCGCCTTCGGTTGACATTTCAAAAATTTCAACATCCTGTATCTCCAAAAAAAGGGCGCTTAGGATGTTTGTTTATTTAATTATATTATTTTTATATATGTTTGTATGATAGTGTTATATTTTGACAGAGCCATTTTACCATGATTGATATCACTAAATGTATGAGTCAAACGTCAGAAACGGTAATAAAATCACCCTCAGTTGAAATTGAGAATCAGTTGAAGGAGGATAAATGTGAAAAAATACCAGAAGAGAGTTGTTTAGATAATAATAATGCGGATGTAGCAACTGAGAACGAGGAAAAAATGGATTGCGAATCTATACCCGAAAGAAGATTTTCACAAAATAGTGAAACTAATAATGATGGACAAGAAAATACTCCCATTCAGACTGATAACGATGAGGTAAAATTTATAATAGTTTTTACGTATTACGCACAATTTGAAAATTCCCGTTAGTTTTTATCAAACCTCATATTTACAAGGTATGGCGGTTTAATTTTATATAACATTTTTTATGATTTTACAAGGAACAAAACATGGAACAGGATAATGAGGATCCAGACGAGACCTCGGAAACGAAAGCGGATCGAGGGAGGCCAAGGGGTCCGAAACGTAAGCGCGACGTTCTTTCCGACTTGCAGATATGGGGTTGGCACAGTAAACGGAAGCAATCGAAAAAAGTTAAAGATAGGGATTTCACGGTTGAGGATGCTTTGAATAGGATCATCCCGAAAACGTTATTACAAGTCAAAATAGACGCTGAAAAATTCAATCAGCAGGAAGATTCCATGAACACGATGGACATTTACAATTTGTACATGGAAGATCATAACGTAAATTATTTATCGCCGATCCATTCTCCCAAGTCTGTAAATTACGAGGCATACTTTGGAACGGATAGAGAAAGGGATCACGTTTCAGGGTTTTGGTTCAAAAAGAGGGAGTACTGCGATGCAGTAGTGCTGATTAAAGATCTAGTATTTACTTTGTCCAAATTATGGCACTACAAGTGGCCCAAGGAACTGGTTCCCTTATACATCGAGGCTTATAATATGTTCAGAGAACATTGCGATCAACCGCAAGTGTTTTGTAGCGATTTAACTTTTCCAGATATAAGGAACGACGCTTTGGCGACTTTATTATACGGCGAATTATTAAGTTTTAGTTCTGACAGTAAGGAGACGATACACGCTATGTCGTTAGGTTACTTACAAACCGTGAGTGGTTGGCAAGACGAATGGCAAGAAGAATACCCCAGTTTTTTTAATCGCGTGTTGTGGCTGAGATCTCACTTATTCAGAAAAGAGAACTCCATCGACTTGGCCATTAGGTCTCTTCTATTGATCCAGGAAGTTATCGGCGAGGAAGAAAATAAATTGCACGAAAAATACCTGTTGAGCTTACCGAACTGCTTTAGGTACGGCTTGATTACAAACCAGTTAACTGAAAAGATACTGAGGCATTTAGATATGATCAACTCTCTCGGAACGGTAGAAGCCCTCTATAACGCCGAGAAATACTTGGAAGTAGCTGAAATATTGAAGCAGACGTTCAGTAATTCGGGAAACCATCCGCAAGTGGGACGCATGGGTAGGCCGGCTCAATTGGGCCTGCTTCTTCATTCGTTGTGGTTCACCGACTTAACTCAGTGTTTTATCTGGAGCGAAGAATGCCTGTTTGAGTCCCTGGATCATTACTTCAAGCCTAGGAAAGATGCGGACAAATGGGAGAAAATAGTGGAGAAGTGTTTGGCGATTTGTCACGAAATAATAAAAAAGGAAATGGTCAGCGTCATTGACTCCTTAACTGAAGAGAAAAGAGCTAGGCTGGTGGAATCTCTATGCAAGATAGCTTCCAAGCAATTAAACTCTGAAAATAAAGTCAAAATTCCTCTCGATTGCGTAACGCCGTGGATTCTATTACATTACGTGTTGGTAAGAGAAGAACACAGGCAATACGCTAACAAGAGGATTAACCAAGGTAAAAGAGATAAAAGCGACATCGTGAACAACAACCAGCCCATATCCGAAGACGAACTGCCCGCTTCAATAGCTATCCTCTTCTCTGCGCACGAGTTTCTAGGTCCTAAAAGTTGGTGTCTCACGGGGCAAGGCGAACTGCTCCACTTTATTTTAGATACAGTTCTCGATAGGCTGGACACTCCTATATTCGAACGGCTGCGAGACAAAATCGACATTCACATCGAACAAGCCTTGTTCTGTTTGTATCAGCACCCGAGTAAAAAGAATAAGGTTTCCAGGCATCTAGCGGACCACAATGTAGACCCACTGCCTTTGTCGTGGGAAAGAGCTTTTCAATTGTACGAATTCTACGGACCCGATTGCCTGCCCGAATTTAACTCGTACAAGAACGTATCCATTTCTGCGGACCTCGAACAACTATTAAAACGCATTATTGCCCTTGTGCCGTCGGAGTGCGCTCCGCAGCACCATCTGCCGAAAATAATGGATTTCATTCATGGGAATAACGACGTCTGTCCCGATCCGATTGAATTTCCTAATAAAGTCAGGTCTATTTACTATTTGATCGGGGACTTTTACTTTAAGCAGAGGGAGTTTACGCGGAGCATCAAGTACTTTCAAATGGATCTGTGCATTAACCCGTTACGGCTGGACTCTTGGGCATGTCTGGGTTTGAGTTACGCGGCGCAGCTTGACAGTAAACTTAACTACTGCCAGAAATTTAAGAGCGAGATGGAGTTTCTGGATAAAGCGAAGTACGCTTCGGTTTGCTTTAGAAAAGCTCTGACTATCTCGCCGGACCACCTTATCTTGTGGATCGAATACGGGACTTTTCAGTATACCGTCCACTCTTATTGTTCCCGGATATTGAAGTATGAATCAGAAAATTTGAGCATGGAAAAGTTAGTAAGAAACGTTTCGTTATCGCATTGAAATAAATATTGTGTTTTTTAGGTTTGAGTTTCTGGAAAATCAGAAAAATAGTTATTTGGACAGCTCCGGTAATAGTTTCGAAAAAGCTATAGCTTTGTATGAAATGGAAAATACCAATGAACCTGATGAAAGGTGGTTGCAGTATTACATACTCGGGAAAATTGCGGAAAAGAAGCAAAAGGAGCCTACGGAATATTTGCAGTATTATATGACGGTAAGTGATTTATTTAAATACAATTTTTAATATGTGAAATTAAGGTGACAAACTTGAGAAAGTAGTGTCTATAGTAGGATCATATTCGATCCGAGGGATCCAGTGCAGTACGGTTTTAAGGGGTTTAGAAATTGAATAATTTATGCATTATGAAGGGATAAAGGGATGTAATTTATTATAAACACGATTTGTTTTTAAATTCGACAGAAGTACTACATTTTACCTCTGTACGCACTGTTGTTTACTTGTTTTTTTGGAGGCGGTCTCTGATTTACAACCAAGCTCGCCAGGTTAGTATTTGATGTATAACTGACCACTTCGTACACTCGATGCACCTGCGCGACTACAGCTATTACCAGAACATAATGCATATGATGCGGTATTTCAGATTTTACATTCAATTTCATTTTACATTTGAAATGGTTCATCTTACACGTCCTAATTGCTCTACTTTGCATCGAATACAATCCTACTATAGTACAGTTTTTATTTCTGTTTTTTTAAACAGGTTCTCCTTGACTGAAATATTTTGTGAACATTATAAAGATCAACAAATAATTGATTGTTTTGTTACTGAAAATAGTAATTTTTCACAATAATTTTGATGATATACTATTCGATTACAAGTTTTTGAATTTCCAAAAATATTATTTTGGTTTTATTATAAAATGAACCACATTTTTGATATCAATAAAAAATATGAAAAAGAAAATTTCATAAGTCAGAAAATAAAAACTGATGTAAATTCACCTACAAAATAAATATGATAGTCCGCTTGGCAAAGGCCAAAAACGCGCCAAAAATGCACGGTTAGCGGCTGGAGCTAGTGGTGGGGGGAAGAGCTGTATGGGCCGAATAAAAATGACTTTTTTTACGCTCTTTCGAAATCTGTCTATAGAATTAAAAAGAAAATTAATTTATATGCTGGAAACTAAGTTTTTCGTTTGCGTAAAAAACTATGAAAACCTTATCAACCACGCAAAACTGAATAAAATCGAAATTTTCAAATTCTCTTGATTCTTGAAGTCTTATACAGTCGGTGTTATATTTGTTGAAATAGAATTCCAAGAAGACCCCTGCACCACTCTTGGAATTAACTGCATTCAAGGAGGAGAAAGATATTGGCGGCATACTGTGTTTTACAGTTACGAAGGCGTGTTTCTTCGTAAGTGTATCGTCCTGTGCATTTTCAGTGTAATTTCTTATTAAAATAAATCAATGCAGATGAACACATTTTAATCCAAAAATATACTTTATATACAGGGTGTCGTGCTTAAATATGATACAAGCCTGTAATTTCTTTATTTTTTGGCCGATTTAAAAAATTTTTATTTGGGGATGTAGGGCAATAAAAACTATCTAACAGATTATGTATTCTCATTCAGCATCACTTAAAATGTCTTACTACCAAGTTTCATCAAAATCGAAATGTAATACAAGCCTGCAACTATATTTTTTGGCCGATTAAAAATAAAAATTTTTTTATGAAATGTAGGGTAAAAAAAACTATCTGACTGTGGTACTGCTGTTTTTTATTAATGCGATACACGGCCAACTAGTGCTCGTCTGAAGATGTATCGAATTTGATGAAACTTGGTGATAAGACATTTTAAGAGATGCTGAATAAGAATACGTATTCTGTCTTTTGACGTCAAAAAAACGCGTCCTAGTCGGCCGTTAATTAATAAAAAGAGCAGCATTACAGTTAGATAAAGATTTTTTATCCTACATTCTAAAAAAAAAATTTGAAATCGATCAAAAAACAAAGCTACGGGCTTGTATCATATTTAAGCACGACACCCTGTATTTACCTCATATGTATTTTAATATTCTGAAAATAACACAGAAAATGTCAAGGCTCGCCCGTGCTGCGGTAAATTGTTCCAATTGTTCCGATTACAGAACTTTATTGGCTTATTCTATTCTTAGAATTCTATCGCAACAACCATTGTATATATTGTATACTCACCAAATTTTGTAAAAATATAAGATCTAGAAAAATTTTACAACCATTGCAAAGTTTCCGGTAAGTATCGAGTATAACTCAGCAACTCATCTATGCAGTAGTGGATTTCGGGAGCTTATTATACTTGAATTGAGGAGTATTGATAACTGTTTTAAGAAAAAAATTAATTTTTGCATTAGAAAAATTTGGAGTGACGCTAAGAAATTGAACTTAGAACAAAAATGATGTTTTGCATTTTCTTCTCAGATTGCAATTGAACCGAAATATTGAAGAAAATGAAAAACAAATAAAAAGGCTTTTTTGTGACATAATTTGTTAATAATAATTTTTACTCACTATGTGGCCCTTGTACATTTTAATATGTTGTGCATTTGTAGACGATTTTTAAAAAAATGTTGGCATTTGTGTAAAATTACAACCTCTAAACCCCTGTCTACTGGACTAGGAGCATATTAGACGTGGGGGTATTTCTCCTATTTGAGTACCATTCAAAATAATCTACGATGTAAAACCGTTTTGAAAAAGGTTAATAAAAAAAAAAGTTTGTATTCTTTCTTATTTTTGATCAGAGAAGACCAAAAATATATTGCAATAATACTTGATGCATCCTTTTAGGCTAGTACACTATTGGATGAGAATCACGCTACATATCCCGAAAAAATTTTCTATAACAGCCCTCAGCACCTAGCAGTAGAAGCTTTGGAACTCCATTATAGAATACACGCGTCTGTTTTAAAGTACTTGGAATTACACGAAGGCAAAGAAATACCGACCAGTTTAGGAACATTTTTCAAGAAGTGTTTAGGCTCTTCCAAATTCTTTAAAAAGGCTGCACCTAAGGCGGTCCCAGAGGTACCAGTAAAAGTTTCAGAAAGCAGTGGATTGAGTTTCCAAGAACAATTTTTGAATTCCCTTAACAAAATGAACAACGACGAACCACCAAAAATAACAGAGGAAGAGAAAATTGAAAGTGAAAAAAAGGTTGTTCAGGAGATTACTGTGCCTGAAAAGAGTCCACCTAAGGCCGAGGCTGTGGTTGCTGATCAAGAAAATAGTGCGAAAGAGACCAGTGAACCCGTAACAAAAGTTATTGTTGAAGACGATGTTATAATGATATCTGATTCTGAAGATGAAAAATGCGACAACACAAAAGTGGAGGTTAAAAATGAAGGTAAACACTAGGTGTATTTACCGTTCACATTGTAATGTTTTTATAGCAATTGTTACAGAGCCCAAAATTGAAGAGACTGAACAAAAACAAGTTAAAGATGTTCAGCAACTGTTGGATGAGATGATGGTGAAAACCATGAAAGAAGTCGAGGACCAACCTAACGAAGCAGATTCAGATTTAAGTGGAACCGAAAAAATCGAAGAAGTGATATGTAAAGAGGAGAAAGACCCTAAAACGGAGGTAAAAGCTACCGATGAAAAACCCGAGGGCGACAACAATAAAGAGAAGCCACCAAAAGTTAAACCAAGTGACAGCGAGACTGACACCGACAATATAAGGGTAATGTAACAACTTACTTTTTTAAGTTTTTAACTCTTTTTTTATTTCAGACTTCAGTAGATGATGATTCGAGCAGCTCTTCTAGTTCATCGAGTAGTTCTAGTAGTAGTTCCGACTCGGACAGTGATGATGATAGTAGTTCCTCGAGCTCTTCTTCTTCTTCAGGAACAGGCGGTGAAAATATGTCGAACAGCGAGATATTACAGTTGGTTGATCGTTGTGTCGCAGGTAAGGGTTTTTATAAAATGCAAAGTATGCAGTGTGGGCCAGAAATGATTTTTTAGGTCTCGAAATATGCATCATAAGGTTGGCACAAAATTACAAGGCACTGTATCGCTTGGCCCATTTGTTCTTTTATTACAAAGCGAAAAAGGATCTTACTAAATGCAAACAGTTATTGTTAGGAGAGTACAAATGTAAAGATGACACTGTCGTCACGGGATTGTTCAACGATAGAAAAATGAACAACTTCTTTAATGTGAGCCTTTATTACTTTTTTCTTCCTTCTTCTAATTTTCTTATATTTAGGGTATTTGGAGAATTCCGTCAACTGAAATAGACAGGCCCGGGTCTCTGTCTGCGCACATGAGCCGATGCGTGTCCCTCCTTTTACAAGTTTTGAGAAACACGAATGACAATAAAATACTTATCGAGTTATGTATGCAGTTGCGAAGAACCCCCGACGTGGATAAGTACGTGACAAATAACTGTACATATAACTTTAATTTGAATTTTGAACATTTTCAGAATTTATATTAAAGATTCCGAAAGGATGGCATTTTCCGAGCAAGCTCTGACGATGTGCACTCAAACCTTAAGAGGTCAAATTAAAAACGTACCAAATATGACGAACCCTCAAATCGTAAAACTGTTGCAGGAAATATTCAAAGTGCAGCAGCGGTTACACAAGCAATTTGGTGCGCAGGAGAATGTATTCTCGTCTATGCTCGTCGATGTGTACAAGCAGTTTATTAAAGAAAAGGTGAGTAACAACACTTCACTAAATGAACTCGCTAGTAGAAACGAGCGACAATTTCAAAGTTGGTCTTTTCATAAACGGCTAAGCTGCTTTTGGTGACATTTTTTTTTTTTTGAGGTTTATTTTCAGCATGTACAAGAGAGGACAAGTTCTTTCGACTGTTCGAGTGTTTACTTTAGTCAAACTATATCTTTTCGAAACACTTTTTTATTTTCAGTAACATCACATTTCACATAATTATTTCTGTTCTTTGCAAAAGACACTAAATATAAAATTTTCAGAAACATGAAAATTTAATAATTTTGCCAAACAAAAATATTTACTAGTGTGGATTTTGTTTAGTTTATCAAAATAAACCGGAACTAAAAACAAAATTTTCCATTTATTCGGAAACGTAGCATTTTTTAAAAGTTGGAAATATGTAAAAGAAGGTTTTTACAGTAACGCAACTTTATAGAATACAATCTGGAATGTACAAAACCTAATGTCGAGAGGTCCTTAAATAGTTCAATAGTTTAGTAGGATTATAGGATGGCAGGGCCCCACGTTGGGCGCCATGTCGTGGAATTCGATGGGACTTAGGCTGATTTTGTTTGGCTGCATTGGGCTACAGTTACTGTATGGCAGCTTTAGAGCTGGGTACTCCTGAAGGTCTTCGCATAGGTAGGACGGACCTTGCTTGACAAAGTTTAAAGAAATATGTTTTTTTTTTATTGATCATTTTGGGCCTAAATAACAATAATGTGGTCAATAACAACATAGGTTTGCATTTCTTTGAAATCGGAGAATTTTTGACCTGTAACGACTTCGACACCCTTATCTCGCATCTTTATGGGATGTGGGCTATTGCGATGGGGTGTTTTTGATTGCTTGGATCGACGATGGGAACTTTGGAAAGTGATTTCCTACGATTATATAGTATTAGTATTATTTCTCCCAAAACCTTGAATCTCTAGGCTGGCCTGCACATAGTCTAGATCTTAACACCATAGAGTCGACTTGAAGCCGGTACGGGGGGTAGAGGCGCAAATATGTGATGCTGATTTTCCTTTTTGTTTTCATTCTCAATATTGAACTTCTTGTAACTGTTTTTTTTTTAATTTTCAATTAATTACGGAGATAATGACGTGAATTAAAAGACTCGATATTCAATAAAGATGGGATTAGACTGACGTAGACATTGGCTATTGTAATTCACATTTTAAGGAAAAAATTATTCTCACTTGCATGAAAATCAGATTAGCTGTACTTTAATTCTTAAGTGAAATTTATAATGGCAAATTATATGTAAAACACCATTATCAATACTTTTCTAGATTCCGGATAATGTGAATGTATTAGAGTTAGCCATCAAATTCTGCCAGCAGAATAGGAACGTAGAAAAACATAAAGCTCAAGTTCAAAACCAACTTCCCCCCATGCCTAGAGGACCTGGAATTGCTAGTGTGAGTATATTATGTAGATTCACAACTTATTTCAAAACAATATGGGAATAGATGCCGCATGAGAAATGCAGTCAAAAATTTATAAAATCCTTATAGTTTTCGAGAAAAAAATTATTGAAGTGGTAGTACTTTCAACCATTACATAGCTGGAGAACTGTAGTTTCTAGCGTCATTTGCAATACGCGTGGAGAGCCCCGTGGCTTCAGCGACTCCGAATACTGAAATCCGATTTTACAATCGTCGTTGCAATAGTGTTTACAATAGTTTTTTTAGTAGTTGGTGTCAAAAATGGCTTGTGTGTATAGCAACTTAGGGTCGATGGATATCGTTTTAAATGGGAACCAATTAATATAAACGAGAAGGAATCGCAAAATTTTTGTTCAACCTGATGATTTTTGCTGTAAAAACTGAAAATACCAACACATTTTTAAGAAATATGCTGTATTTCAACATTAACAGAAGCAACACTTACGAGTTAATATATTTTTTTTTGTCGTATTCGTACAGCCTCCAGTACTCCCGCCTCCTTCCAAGGTGACCCCGCCGCCGTCTCTGCCCCTTAAAAGGCCCGGCGCGGGTAGACCGAGAGGACGCCCTCCCCTGCCCAAAATACCCGGCCAGGTACGCCAACCTAGAGGAAAGAGCCCCAGCGTCGCCGGAATGTCAAAGTCGTACGCCTGGCAGAAGTCCTTGTTCGACCAGAGTTATGCGTACGAGTACCTAAAACATTATCAAGACGAACTGATCAAACAGTACAGCCAGAACTTAAGTTTAAATCAACTGACGCAACTCAGCCAGATATTAGCTCAGGGCCAACTTAATAACCCGGTGACGGCTTCCGCCATAACCAATCAGTTTCTCGCCCAAACTGGATTGCTGACGTCTAATAACTTAATGAAGCAGATGGGTTCCGCTACCGGCGGTGCAAATCCACCGATGACGACACCGTCGATGGACATTTTAAACCACTTAAATCCGACGTCTAAGAAAAAAACTGGGTTGGATCAGGCTCTGTCATCGTTGACACCAGGTAACGATTACAGTAATTGCTTTATTTGGATTCCGATGTCGTATATTCAAATGTTAAATTTATGATTTTCTTCTTTCTTGAGTATAGTTGTTTTTAACAAACTTTTTTTGTCTACGTTGAAATCTTACAATGAAAAGTGGATAAATGTTTTTAATATTTCCACAAGGCATTTACATTTTTTATGATTGCTATTTTTGGTAGAGTTTAATGTGGTATTTCGTTGAGAAACAGTCGGTATATTAATTAAACATATTACCAATTTTTCACATACATATAATTTTTTTTCCTTATCTTAGATAATTCCTAGTTTTTAGTATTTTTAAACATTTTTCAGAAAAAACAAAATTTCCAGAGCAATGGATAAGCAATAAAATATTTACTAATTTTGAAAATTTTTATTTACATTCTGGCAAAATACTAAAAAAAAAAGAAAAAGGTACTTTAAAAATCCTAGAAATCAATATAGCCCAGTCGGTGGAAGTAATTTTGCACCAAAAGCACAAGTAATACACAATATGGCTGATTTTTTTTTTATATAAATTCAAAGTATGCAGATTAATATAAGAAAAAGTTGACTGGTCTATCAATTTCCCAAAGTCCAAAAAAATTTTGAAAAACATTTTGATTTTCGAAATTCTTTAATATTTTGGACTGGGATCAAGGTAGAGAAAAATCTACCTTGTAGAAGTTTTTTCCAACGAAAAAGATACATTGCACTTTTTTTCGTCAGAGCTAGGTTTGTCTGGAAAAAATTATTAAAGCCATGAAGTCATCTTCTGCGGACAACCAAGTGAATAAATTCACTCTTCAAACGTAAACATTGTCAAATTTCACTCAAATATTGAATACACTAATATGTAGAAATGAAAATTTGATCTTAATTCAATGCAAAAAATAAAAAATAAAAAATTTAAATTTCAGTTTTCTAAATTTTTGAAAAAAAAATTGACAAAAAATTATGTTTAATAAGAAAAAAAAACGGTGAATTCCTGTTATTTGGTTACAGGCCAACTAAACAGAGTCCAATGTGTGTAGTAAATATGTGCTACTTCCATGCGTGACGGTAACCATGACCACCGCTGTAAACACTACAGATTTAGGGCCGAAATCACGTATTCAGTGATTTTCAAATAAATTTTGCAAGTCGAGTTAAACTGACTGCGCATTACAAAATTAGCGTTTCCTTTTTAATGGATTTTATAAGGCTAATCTATTTAATTAATTTTTTTTTACTATGAAAAACAAGCGAATAAATTCACTCTTGAAACTTAAGAATTGTCAAATTTCACTCAAATATTGAATACGTAGAAATGAATATTTGATCTTAATTCAATGCAAAAAATAAAAAATTTATAAATTTAAAATTTCAAAAAATTACCAACAATTTTTTCCGGACAAACCATAGCTCGGGCGAAAAAAAGTACCGAGTGTCTTTTTGTTAGAAAAAACTTTCCCTACAAGGTGGTATTTTTTATTTTTTTCCACCTTCATCTCAGTCCAAAATATTAAAGAATTTCAAAAATCAAAATGTTTTCAAAATTTTTTTGGACTTTGGGAAATCGATAGACCAATGAACTTTTTCTTATATTAATCTGCACTGTACTTTGAAGTACTTATTGCTAGTTACTTGTTTCTGTGGCCTCCGCCGACTGGGCTAAGACTTTTAGACAGTAGCTTGGCTGATACGACGTAACATTTTAGAACAATTGAAATATCTTGGAAGCATGCTGCCGTCCACATCAAAAACCCCGCCTGCGACCAAAAGCAGTTTTCCCCATCCCGTTATAACGTCATCTGGCATCGTTACGAGCAAACCGAAATCCACCACGTCGTCAAACGTAAAACCGATTCCATCTAGCGTTCCAAAATCTATAATAGCCGAACCGAACAGAAGCAAACCAGACAGCATTGTAACCAAACCAGGGCCAAGTAGTCAAATATTCAAGGTGAACTGAGAAAACTTTCTGTAATCAATGTATTAATGATATTTTTAGGAGCCAACGTTAACTAAAATTACATCACCCGACGAAAAAGCCGCTAAAGTCTTAATGAAGGAAAGACCCAACATATCGATTACACCGGTGTCGGGGGCATTACCGCCGCCAATAACGAGCACCACCAGTTTTGCTAGATCGATTGTAACAACGACGGTTACTACCAGTTTCGTTCGGCCTACCGTCACCACGAGCCCTTCAAGTAAGATAATTAATTCATTTGCGAATGTTACTATTGACCGTTTAAAGAACTAACAGCATTTTTTGTTCGATGCGCTTTCATGCATTGAGCTGCACTTTCTCCGGTCCCTGATGTTCAAATTTCAACCTTTAAAGATTTTGTTAGACTCATATTGCAAGCTGCGTTCGACTGTTATTGTTAAAAAAAGTTCTGAAGTTAAAATTAATCCATTTTTCCCAAGATTTAGTTTGGAGTTAGTTTGCAACCATGACCACCGCTGTAAACACTTTACAGATTTATGGGCGAAACCGCGTATTCAGTAATTTTCAAATGAATTTTGCAAGTCGAGTTAAACTGACTGCACGTTACAAAATTAGCATTTCCTTTTTTAATGGAGTTCTTTTTTTATAATTTACAACTTATTTATTTGAAATCTAATTTGTTTTCAGCACTCGTGCTGGTTTGTATAATTAATTTCTTGTTTCTTGAATTTCGTTATTCTCAGGTGGAAAAACCCTCCAAGAAAAATTGGCGGAGAAGAAAAAGGAACAATTCAACAAACAGCAACAACAACAGAAGAACGCCGAAACGGAAATTTACACTTCAGACGCCATATTGAAAAGTTTAAACCTTCCAAACATACCTTCCTCGTTAACCGTTTCAAAAGCGTCCTTATCGGTGTCCCCACCCGGTTTTTCAGGAATGTCACAGCCTAGAACAAGTCCCAATCTTCACAAGTCAATCTCGAACACTCCCAAGTCTATTCCTTCGATTCCAAAATCGATTTCGAATTTACCTAACATGTCTCCTAGTCCCTTACCCCCATTTCCTGTGGATTTGGGTCGCCCGGCAGCCGGGCTGACTTCCAAACCAGTCGCACCACAGCCAAAATTCACTTTAGAGCCCAGTCTTCCGCCTAGCCTAACAGTGTCGAAATCAACAGTACCCTTACAAACTCCCAAATTTCCTTTAGAATCCGGAATATCTATCAGTCAGGTGAGTTTTCTTTTTTTTCTTGCAATTCTGGGCCGGGTAGCCTTATTTTCCAGTGCTCTTTTCGTAGCTTTCGCGAGTTTATTGAATTTACTATGCAAATTGATTTTTGCCAGTTCTTTAGAAGTTTCTGAAGTGTTATAATTTTTTTTGTAACTAGCGTAACAAAATACACGATTGCGCTTAACGATCATTTTGAGTCGGTATTGTACAGAGTGATTCAAAGTTTTCTTCTTTGCCTATGTGGCGATTTTTTTGTATTCCCTGTATATACAGGGAGATCCTTAAGAAAAACCAGTTTGTGCCTGTCACTGAAATACGATGATCAAGATTTTTTACTTTTCCGATATCCTGAAAGACAACAAAGTAACGATCCTTAACTACTCAGATAAAATAATAAAAATGTGTCACCACGATATTAATTTTTAAGGGAATAGTTGCGAAATCGTGGATCACGCTGTACATACGCAGACCTGCGATGTGCTAGTTATTTTTGCAGTTTCATAAATGTTACATGTGTGCCATAATCTCTTAAGAGGGCTCTATAGCAAATAGCCAACCAGCAATATATTTTTAAAGATTTTATTGCACAGTTTGTCTAAATATTAATTAATGCACAAATAACAGACTTTCCCCCATTTCAAGGCAGGTTTTCTATAAAATGGACTTGGTTTGAAACTAAAATAACTTTTTGGTGTAAAGAAATTTGTAATTTACTTGTTCAAATACAGCAAATTACAAATTTCTTTACAACAAAACGTAATTTAAGCTTCAAACTAAGTCTATTTTATAGAAAATCTGCGTTAAGATGGGGGAAAGTCTGTTATTTGTGCATTGATTCACATTTAGACGAACTGTGTACTAAAATTTATAAAAATGTATTGCTGAGTGCCTATTTGCTATAGAATCCTCATAAGTTAAATTAAGGCTTGTCAAAGTAGGCACCTTTAGTAGTTTCAGCATAAACAAAGTTTAAATAATCACACAACTCCAAAAAAAAACGTTTTTTTCAAAATTTAAACATAAATTGTTGCGAGAAACTTAACGTGACATAATTTTCCCAAGTACACTGGAAAATATAATAATTATCTTGTACATATCTGTATAAAATTAATAACCTTTGTCATCAATGTAGTCATCGAAATCAACACAACCATTGAGAAAACCTTACATTTGGAATCCATCATTCTAGAATCTAATTCTCGGTTCTAATGTAAGTCTCTGACGAATGCGGTAGACTGTTAGTCTGAATTTTGTAATGGTTGTCCATTTAGTAGTTCTAAAGTTATTTTTAAAGGAATGCTCTGTAGATGCACAAATTTCTTTCTAAAAAAACTTCAGTCTATTCTTATGCTGTATAATATTCTGTTGAGATAGTATTTGGCATTAACAAATTAATAGACATGTTTATTTGTAGTATATTTATTATTTGCTTCAGTTATTGGTTGTTCAGTTAAAAAATACTGAGTGTTATAAGTAAAATATTGTAATAAAAAATATATGTGTGTACTGTACCACGTTTTTAACAAGTAAATATTTGCCATTATAAATTAATGGATGTGATACTAAGTAGGGGGCTTTGAGGTAATGGTGTATTGTAATAATAATAGAGTAGATCATAGAATCGTAGAAATAAAATCAGTTTTTACCTGTGAAGCTTACGAGATGCAAGTCGAAGGTTACTTAAATTGTTTTTACAAAATCGTGGTTTATACCAAGGTAATATCAAAGAAGTTAATACCAAAACTATTTGACTTAATTATTTGTTGTTAGGAGCAACTAAAAATATATTAATGTGGTAAAAGATAATTGCCAAAAATCCTATCTATTTTCAAATCGACTAGTGCACAGCTGCATGTTTTCATATCACGTTGTTAGGGACACGTAATTTTCGCAAAAAAATCAAGAGTCGAAAAATCAAAAATTCAGAATCCAAAATTTTGCATTTATTCGCTAAAACCAAAAACAAATCAGCAACAGAATAATAAATTTGTAAAATAAAAGAAATTCTCACCTTGAGGGTTGTTTTCAGTATGCAGCAAAATAAAAGTAAAAATAAAAGTATTTTTATTGAAAACAAAGTTTGTGAAAAAGACGTGTTGTTGGAGCGTTCGCTGAAGAGTCCTCGTGTGTGGAGTCGGTCTCAGAAGTACCTCGTCCTTGGCGCCAATCTGCCGTCTTGGAACCCTATTGCGTCCCAGGTGGGGTCAGGCTGGCGCTATTGACGTGGTACTTAAAAATGGGTCACTTGCAGACATGTGTACCCACAACCTTATAAAAAATATTGGTGCAATATTTGTAAATTTAAATTTTAAAGTATATTATGTAAATCAGATAGTATTACTGTTAGTTGAATGCCAACATTGCTGTCTTTTTACATTTTCTTCCAACAGCCTGGTCCTTCTGACCATGGTGACAATGTTGTAGGGCTGAAAAATTATTCTGCATCAACTCGATAAACTTTGAATTGCCGCTTTTGCAAAATTTGGATGAATGTATTTAGTTGCCCATAAAACCTGAAGAACATCGGGAATGTCTGTTTTATCTGCTGCGGTTAAGAGTTGTCAATGAAAGTGACTATATCCGTTGATAACCATATCTTGCGGGATATTTAAAAAAACGGAGTTTTGAGAAATGTACTAAAAAATCTTTCCCGAGCGACTGCGTGACAATAGCTATAGAGTGACAAAATTGTGTACCGATGTATTGGCGGGCCTCGTTCGTTTCATTAGATTTCGTGTGAAAGACTAATTTATTCAAGATTTTACCAGAAGCGCATCGTTTTGCTTTTATTTACATATTTCTCATTTATTCACATTTTTTTCATAATTTCACATTCACACTTATTTTGTAAATACAAAAATTACGTATCCCTACACATCGTATATACCTGTTGCATCATTACATTCTGAACTGTCTGCATTTATTGCTGTTACTTCAAGTTATAGGTTGATTTGTAGCTTTCGAAGCTATATTTAAAATAAAATCAGTGTTTTATTGGGGCAATATGTAACAGAAATACAGTGCGTCCCAGAAGTAACGCAGAAAATTCGTATTTTATTTTGTGTTGCGTTTTCACAAAAACGCTGAAACACGTCAATTAGTAAATAGAAATTGTCGTTTTGTCACGTTACTTGAACATTTTTTGCGCTATGTTTCATAAACCTATGACGCCAACGACATTTTTATTTTTTAAATAGCAGTAACTAATTTTGGTACTGTTCTCGCATCAGTCTGTGATACCTACTTTTGTTGTTATTTCAAACCATGTCCATTCCAATCATTGGCTTTTTTTCGCACCTGTCAAAGGAAAGTAAACTATATCGACGCATTTCCATTTAAAAGGACTATCCATTCATGCTTAAAAAGTTAGGTAGTACTATAAAAGGTTCAAGCAAGGTGAGAAAATGACAACTCTTATTTACTGATTGACGTGTTTTAGCGTTTTTTGTGAAAACGCAACACAAAATTAAATACGAATTTTTTTGCGTTACTTCTGGGATTCACTGTATGATACGACTTAAGTAATTATTAAAATTTGTTCCGTAAAATTGATCCTAGATAGATATCTATACCCTTGCAATACAAGTGGCAGATAGTAATTTTAAATGAAAAAAATATATTTTCGTCCAATCTTGTTGCAAATTGTTATATCGGGTGTCCGGTAAATAATGGATAACCTTTTAACCATGGATGGTGGACCCTAAGGGTCGTTCAGGAAATCGACTTTTGTCTTAGTACAAAGTCCCTTCGTTTTTCAGTTATTTTGTTTTTTTTTTCGAAATTTCCGGCATAGGTTACTTTATTGGTCGCTACGGCCACAAGAGAACGTATTTTCAGTTTGTAGGGAGCTCTATCTGGGTGGCTGTTTCAGGAAGGCACACTATATTTTTCTCTAAAACTTTATTTTTCCATAAAGGCATAAGGCCGGTGTCCCATGCATCCGAATTCCGACGATACGAAGGTCCGAAAGTGTTCCTATTGGTTAATATACATTCAAATTTTTACCATTCACTTTCATCCGAAATTTTTAAAATTCATACGACGTCGGAAAAAGTAAAAATAATTTTAACTTTTATCCGAAATCGTGTTTTTTAACCTCACTTTTTAAGTTTTTAACATACTATGTTGTTTGATTTATTTACAGTCAAATAAATGTTATATTATAATGTCGAATGTAGAAAATATAATACTACGTATATTTTCTATAATAAATACCTATGATTGTCATTTGAAAATATTTTACCTTCATCTTGTAATAAATTCCATGGTTCTATACTCGATTTCCATTAGATTAATTTCGGATGCATGTGAATTATAATATTATCATTCGTATGAATTAAAATATTTTCGGATATCGTACATCGGAATTCGGATACATGGGACACCGGCCTTAATCTTAAACAACGCTTCTTTTTCGCACATAACCTCTTTCTTTTCCTAACCTAACTAACCATGCCATGGGGGCTTTCATTTTGGCAAAAATAGTAACTATTAGCAACTAATATCGGTTCACAGTAACTCTAAGTTGCTATTAGCTATTAATAACTACTATTTTTGCCAAATAGTAGTCTAAGAACATTGAACGCCACTCCAGAACCAGATGTCTTCTTCTTATTCGAATAAGTAAATCGCGCGGGATTTTTTAAATATTTGAAACGGGATACTACAAGTTATTTAATTTTATTTGAAAATTACAGTAAATTATCAAATTGTCTGCGCCTTCCCTGATGCAGGCTCTGCACCTTCTTATGAATGCCCTTCGTTGCTTTCATTTGTATCTTCGCTGACTAACATAAAATTTAAGTTTAAGATTTTTTGAAACAAGAATTATTGCTAGTTAAAAATTCTGATAAGCATCTGATAATAACACTATTCAAGAATATTACGCAAAATAACTTACGTAAAGATAATACGTTCTCTTGTGGCCGTAGTAACCTATGGCGGCAATTTCGAAAAGAAAACCGAAATAACTGAAAAACGAAGGGACTTTGTACTAAGACTAAAGTCGAGTTCTGAACGTCCTTAGATTGAATGCAACGAAGTTTATCATTATACTGGAACCTCTTCCGTTACTGGATTTGATATTTGAAAATTTTATATTTTTTATGTCAACTACAATACATGTGGTTCTATTGCAGATAGGGCTTAGTATCAGACGGCCAAAGCTTTCATTCCTTTTTTTTTATTATACAAATTAGTGTCGTATCATATAGGCCTAAGACATTTGAAAAAACCTGATAAATATTTTGGAAACGAATTATTTCGGGAAAGTTTTTTATTTGAAGGGGAAAAGAAGACAATCAACTCTATTTTCGATTGGATTGACATTTTCAAAGGGTTTTCCAAGGTCAACATTAATGTGTTTATAAGTGTATACATATATTTTTTTTTGGCTGAACGAAGACGTTATTTATGTTCAAAAAGTTGTTTGTTTCTCCTTTCTCGTTTCTTTTTTGCAAAACATGATTCTGTTGGAAAAGTGGTTTAAAAAATTGAAGGAATGTTCTTGAAAATGTTCATCGAATCAGAGGCGGATTTAAGTTTTCTTTTCCCTTCTGCCGAAAAAATTTTTTTCCTGCAATGATCTATTTCTGAAATATTTCAGTTTGTCGAGTTAAATGACACCATCCATGGAACAAAAAGCATTAAAGCTGCCATGATTATTTGAGAGTTGATTAAAATAGCCGAATATATAATTCAAAGTCGGAATAGATTATTTTTTTTTAAATTAGATAGGTAATTTATTATTTTTTGAAACAAATTTGAATATTTAGTAGCAAAAAAAGTGGAAACTTATTAAAATTAGCATGCAAATATTGAATGGCTTATTTTTAATGAAATATGTACTTATAAATGCATGTTTGAGGTAACAGTATCTTGCAAAAAATATTTGAGATAATTTGCTTATTTACAATTTGTTTCAGATTCCTATCAGTTCTACGAAAATTACTGAAAAACCATCTCCTTCCAAAAAAACCTCTTCAAATGTAATAAAACAGTATCGTGCAACAACGTCCGCAGATCCGTCTGTAAGGTCAAATGAAAAAAAATCCGTTATATCGACCACTAGAAAAGATGCAACCCCAAGTATACTAAAGTCAATTCCGTCGTCAATGTCGGTAGACATAGCGCCGATTATAACTAAATCTGATAAATACACTTTAAAAAAATCTCAAAAAGATACTCACAGCACCTCCACGAAATCTGCGGGAGTATCTAAAAAAATCATAGAATTCGGACAAAAACCTGTGACTATTTCTGCAAGTAAAGCATTAAATATCGATCTGAGTAATCCAATAGACAGAAACGTTATCACTACGTCTTCTTTAAAAAGTGTTAAATATGCATCGACGATATCGCACCCGTCATCCGTTAATATTACAAAAATATCTAACGAGTCGAAAGATGTCAAGCAAGGTTCGTCTTTTAAGAAGGATCCTCCAAGTGTAAATCCTACTAATCCAAACTATCCACAGTCACGAAAAGAATCTTCCGATGATGATATTATTTGTATCGATTAATCTAGTATGTTGTGAATGTACGTATAAGACTGCATTTTTTGTTTTTTTTTTTATCTAATATATCTTATAACCGTAAATGTTGAGACCTTATTTTATTCGACTTAGCATTTTTGTAGCTAAGAATCAATGAATTTACGAAAAAGTAATGTACGAGTGGCGACCCAAAAATAACCAGAAAGTCAATTCGAATATACAGGGAGGCCCAACGAAAACAAAGACAATATGTTTTTCTTTTACTAAAAAAAATTAAACTTAAAATCACAGTTCTAATTCATACTAAAATAATTATTTCTTCCCAGTCGAGTGAATTAAACTTCTATGTTTATTTAACGTTCCTTTATCTGCAAATTTTTTGTTGCACGTCGAACATTCAAACGGTTTTTCGCCCGTATGGGACCTGGTATGAACCAAAAGGTTGCTAGGTGTCGCAAAGTCCTTCCCACAAACGTTGCAAATATTTTTTTTAATTCCAGAATGTTTCCTGTCGTGCAGTTTTAGTTCTGACAGACTAGCAAACGATTTACCGCAAATTTCACATACATAAGGCTTCTCGCCAGTATGCGTCCTTATGTGGTGAATTAGAGTTCCTTTCTCGGCGAATCTATAATTGGAAAATTATAAATAATTATATTTATTAACCTAAAGAGGGCTCTCTAGTAAATAGGCAACCGGCGATAGATTTCTATAGATTTTATTACACAGTTTGTCTAAATATTAATTAATGCGCAAGTAAAGGACTTTCCCCTATTCTAATGCAGGGTTTGTATAAAATGGACTTGGTTTAAAACTCAAATAACATCTTGGTGTAGAGAGAAATTTGTAATTTACTTGTTCAAATACGGCAAATTACAAATTTCGTTACAACAAAAAGTAATTTGAGTTTCAAACCAACTCCATTTTATAGAAAATCTACGTTAGAATGGAGGAAAGTCTGTTATTAGTGCATTGATTCATATTTAGACAAACTGTGTAATAAAATCTATAAAAATGTATTGCTGGTTGCCTATTTGCTAGGGAGCCCTCTTTAAGTTAATAAATATAATTACCTCTTTGGACAACTATCACAGGCAAAGGGCTTCTCTCCCGTGTGAGTCCTGTGATGCTTCTGTAGACTAGAGGACTGAGTAAAAGTTTTATCACAAATCGTACAAATATAAGGTTTCTCCCCAGTGTGAACCCTTATATGTTTTGTTAAATTGACACTTTGACTAAAGGATTTCCTAGAAACAAAAAATATTTGAGATTCATATTTTATAAATGCAAACGACGTTAAACTTACGAACAAATATGACACTTGTACGGTTTTTCGCCAGAATGCATCATATTATGAGCTTTTAACGAACGAGGGTCTGCAAAAGATTTATCACACATTTCACATTTCAGTGGTCGCTCACCAGTATGCTTCCTTATGTGGACATTTAAATAATAGGGTTCAGAAAATCTATAAATTTGTTTAAAATATAGACCTTGTTTCAAGTGGAAGAGTAACTTAGTTTTGTCTGCTAATATTCCATGCTGCTGACTTATTGACATTTTCTCATCAATGGTATACTGGTGAACTAGAAATGTTGGAAAAAAAATGGTGATATTTTCTTTCAGTCCTATAAGCGTGTATTTTATAAAATTTTTCGATCTGAGCCTCCTATCAAGAGTTACCTCTTTAAGGTGGTGAGAAATCATGTCAAACGGCTGTAATTAACAAAAAATAAAAAATAGTGCAGCTAATAAAACTGAACAAGGATTTAACATACCATTTAATATTTCCTACCATTTCCATGACGTTATAATTCTTCTAATTGTAAGTAGACAAAGGTAAGTTACATTTACTGTCTTTCATTCGTTTATAACACATGTAGACCAGGGCGGATCTGTTTTAAGGTGCATATGAGAGGGGGCAAGCAAATTTTTTCTGGATTACCTTCAGTACAACTCGCATAATAAAAGTGTAGATCCCTAGATCTGGGCGAGGTCCGGAACATTTTCAAAATTGCAAAAATGTTTAAAAAATTTTAAAAAATACCTATTTTATCCGAGTTTTTTACTTATAATTTTGCACAATATACTGTAGGTTAAAAATGTTTAAATTTATTACCGATGTTGCAAAATAGTAATAATTGATGAAAAAAAGGCAAAATAATCGTTTTTTGGATAATTTTTTTAAAATATTTTAAATACTCCGAGGGCATTCTAATTTTGCTAGAGTATAATAAAACAACACGCCAAATTTCATTAAATTTTTTAAAACATTTTTGCAATTTTGAAAATGTTCCGGACCTCGCCCAGATCCAGGGATCTACACTTTTATTATGTGACTCGTACTGAAGGCATTCCAGCAAAAATTAGCTTGCCCCCTCTTACATCCAAGTAGTGGAATATTTCGACAGATCCGCCTTGGTCTGGTTATACTAGAAGAAGCTTTTTAAATGGCAAGGAAAATTCAATCATAGTGTTTTCAGCACACAGGATACAAAAAAATAAATAAGCATAACAACTTATACTTGTAGTTGTGCTCATCAATCGGATAAATAAATTTAATACTCCTAAAAACTTCTCCAAGCGTGTAAATAACTTGTAGATACGTACCCTTGGCCACACTCGTCACAGAAATGTTTCTTTTCTCTTGGAATACCTAGGTGCTTCCTCATATGCTTAGTTAATGAATGAGATTCTGCGTAACCTTTCCCACAATGTTGACAAATGTGAGGTTTGTGCACCATATGAATTTTCATGTGTCTTTTGAGCATTTGTCTGGCTATAAGAATAATGTTACACCTAAACTAGTCTGAAGAGAATAATATAGTGTTTTAGCTAGGAATCTCGGGCTAGGCTCTGTGGGGGCTGAACTTTCACTGTCGGACGAACAGTGATACGTTTGCATTGGATGCGATCAGTTACAGGGGCAATCAAGGAACGTCTTAGAAGAGTACCATTGTCTAAGGAACAGTTTCATCTGTAGCGGCTTTAGGACCAACAACAACAGGGCAGGCCTAGGCTTCCTGATAGTAAACCCGCCCTCATAGAGCCTAGCCCGAGAACAAAGATTCCTAAATAAGGCTAGATATGACCAAGTGTCAAAACAATTTTAAAGAATTCTTTAAACGTACAAAAATAAACCTTTTACTTTATTAATTAAATTAATATGGTTTATAAGTACCAAAAAAAATTTGTGAAATTGAAGTTTTAATTGCTATAATGTCCATCACTTACTTCGAAAATTTTTATTACAAACTACACATACTGGATCTCCAGAAGTATGTGTAGATTTATGTAAATTGAGATCCTTTTCTTCGATGAATGACTGGGTACATTGTGTGCATTTATAAGGCCATGAAGTAGTCCTTGCTTCCAAAAATGATGTCAATTCATCGTCCGAGTTTTGAATGTATGTTTTACTAAAATAATATACTATTCTGAACAATTTGAATACAAATGTGATGTATTATTAAATCTGTTATACTGGGTGCCTGTTTTTCAAACCACACCAGGTACTTGGCTATCTTAAGAGGTACAATGACGGTTAAGTTGGTACATGTCTCGACTGCCTGGATAGTCTACCTCCAAGAGGATGCTGATAAATGGTAGAAGTGGTGCAGTAGTGTAGTTTTTTTTCTTGAAAGTTGAGCAAAATAGATCAGGAAGTAACTTATACTAAAAGATTAATTACAGTCTCCTTGTGGATATCCTTACTCTCAAAAATATGAGTATCTCTATTCTAAAAAGTAGATGTCCAGTTTACAACTTGGATAAAAAAAAACCAAAAGCAACATGTAAATAAATATTCTGTGTTATTAATTTAAAGCGTAGCTCTAATACTTTAGTAAGTGTTTGTAGAAGAAAATTGTTTTGCGTTTTAACTCTCGAGCAATAAAGCATTTTCTTAATATATAAATAATTAAAATAGGTAACTGAAAAGTATAGTATCCTTTATGTGAGCAACTTACTTTTCATCAAAATGCGTTTTGTCATTATCATTTGTTTCTTCAGCGTCTAACAACTTACTGCTCTCGTTTGTAATCTCAACTTTGTCATCATTTAAAATATGTTCATTTAAAAGCTCTTCACTGGAAAAATGCATATTACACTTTGTGCATTTGACTTCTTGTGTACAAATTTCTTCCTTCTCAAAAACGTATAAACTTTGTTCATTTTCCGAAGCATTTTCCAAAATTGTTTTTAAAGTCTTATTAGATATGATACACTTTTGCTTTAAATCATAACTATCTTGCACAGACTTATGACATGTTATGCATATGTTACTGGGTAATTCATCATTTTCGTTTACCTAGGAATAAAAAATTTCAATAGAAAGATTAATTGTACCTATATGCAGCATCTACCTCTAGAAATTGACAAAAATTTAGCATATGAGCAGCGCAAGATGCAAATAATGATTTTATCTCTGGTTCATTTTTTAAACAAATTCTACATATTATATCAAAGTCTAAAGTATTAGCTGTATTCATTTTCAGGTCTGTTTTCTATCGTCTCTGGTTTTTAATTTGTAAATATGATGTTAGGAATATTCGGATTAGTGATGGGAGATTTCGAGTGAAAAATCGAGTGGTACTCGATTATTGAGATCACTCGAGATATCTCGAGATGTTTACTCCCACCACTCGAGTGATTATTACCCTACGGTTGCACCTCAAAATGTCAGTGCATACTGCAAATAGTCACTGATTGCGTAACCGTTTTTTTAGAATAAAACGAAAAAGTGGTTAGGTTTTGAAGTGCGTGAGCTTTTTTTTTTTTTTTAGCTACGCTTATAAGTAATATATGACTAATACAAACATATTTGTGCGCCGCTGGGATGAAAACGACCAATATCTCGTATCTCGAGTGATCACTCGATTATTAGAAGTACTCGATTACCGATAACTCGATTATCAAAATTGGTCGATTATGCCCATCACTATCGGATCTTAAAGGTTAGACGGCCTATCTACTTCTTCTTCTCGTTGGCATGTAAGGTTCACAGTGATTACTTATAAAGCCACTGTATAAGTTAATAAATACTAGATAACGTTCTTGATTACATTACATTATTATATTATAAGAAAGAGTTGAGACAGCTGAAATCCTAAATCAGTTTTTATTGTTAAAATTACTTTCCCTTTAATTAAAAAGTTCTTAATTTTTATGACCTGCCATCAATCGCTCAGAAACTGAACTGAACTAAAAGAGAATTCCTTATTAACAGGTAGCCAAAAGTAAAAGCTGCTCATTCTTCGGTTACTTAATTGATTTCTCTAAGAATAGATGGCGCCACATACTATCCTTATTGAATATGTATTAAAATTCGAAAAAGTTCTGAAAATTGAAATTCTATCTGAAATTTTATTGTCAAAATTTCAAATTCTTGTTAACCATCTTTAATTTTTCAGTGAACAGTTTGATTTCGTAAAATACTACTGGCATATTCGTGACGATTTCTCGATTTTTCTCAAAAAGTTTTAGGTCTCGGAAAAATCCAAAACTTTTATTAGGTAGATAGGCAACATACAATACATACGTGTGTATACTTCCTAAAACCGGCTTTAGAAACACACTTTTAATTTTTTGACGATAATTTTCATGAAAATTCTCAAAAAATTAGAATGCCGTCTAAGGACGGCATCCCGTATCCAGTTTGGGCCGCAGAATACGCCGATGTAGTCCATTTTTTTTGTAAATTGCTTTCCTGAAGGAGAAAATTGAATATCTCGAAAATTCCTCGAGCTAGAGAGAAATTCGTTTTAGTTTTGGATTTGCCAGTACCGTTATAGTCTGGAGGAATTTTTTCAGATTTTTCCGGGTCCCTAAAATTTATTTGACGAAAAAATCGATTTTCTCAAAAATTTTTAGGACTCCGAAAATTCTGAAAAAATTCATACAGACAATAACGACCCTGACCAATCCAAAACTACTGTCAGTTCCTCTTTAGCTTCGCCAGTTTTCGAGATTTTTTATATATTTCCTTCCAGTTCCAAAGCTTTTGTTAGATATGCAACATACAATACATGCGTTTGTATACTTGGCTGCATAATAATTCTTAAATTCGCCTTTAGACACACATGTTATTTTTTTGACTATAATATTTAAGAAAATTCTCAATTGACAATTTTCATGGATTATCGATTTTCTCAAAAAGTTTTAGGATCCAGAGAAATCTGAAAAAAATCGGGTAGACTGTAGCGACCTTGATTAAATCAAAACTAGTCAGTTTTTCTCTAGCTCTTTTAGTTTTCGAAATTTTCGAAATTTTACCTTAACGCAAGCACTTACACAAAACCGACCATTCCAGCGTTTTCCACGATTTCATTTCTAATATCGCCTTAACAAATATTTTTGTGCAAGAGTCACTGAATAGTTCAGTCACTATAGATTCATATTTTATTATGCATTCATGGCCTGTCATCTATTGCTAAGGAGCTGCATTGAACTACTGGATAAATCGAAATGAGGTAGCCAACTGAAACAATTGCTCATTCACTAGAGCGTAAATTAAGCGTCTTATGCATAGATGGCGCTGCTACTGTTCTGGAATTTACCCACAGATGGCGCCATATAAAAGAAATAGAAAATTAAATGTCTATTTTTTGATATTATTAAATGAGTATAGGTGGCGCTGCAACTGTTCTGAAATTTACCCACAGATGGCGCCATATAAAAAAATAGAAAATTATGTTTGATTTTTGAGATTACTAAATGATTATTCGATTTTGATTATAATTATAGGTTATGTTTTACTGTATCGGTAATACTGATGAATGATTATTGTAATTTTGAATTATCATCATTGTAGTTGTGAATACTGTGCTAATATAATGAATTTAATAAATATAGATGGCGGGCAAATAAATTTTTCAGACTTTAAATTGATTATACCAAGTGTGTCAGTTGGAAATGTTCCTCAATTAACAGTAGATTTATTAATAACCACGTTTGACTTTAAAAGAGTATCCACAATTTGGCATCCAGCGATACTATCGTCGATTGGAAGTGATCCATATTACTCAAACATATCGGAGATATATACAGCTTGTGAACTGTACATTAACGAAGAGTTAAAACTGGCTACAATACAGATAAGATCAACTGTGGAGAATAAATTAGCTGTGAAGTTTTTTAATGACTTGCGAGGCCTAGTACAACATTTAAATTTTAAGCATACATTTATACTGTCAAGTGCGTTTGATTACGAGTTGCATAACGTTCTTAGTGAGAAATTTTACTTTGTTAGTACTAGTGAAAATAATGAAGTCATGGAAATTAATCATATAAAGCCTTTACAGCCTGCATTGAACGGGAAATACTGCTTAAATGGCGGTGGATTTGCTGTCAAACTTTTCCAAACGCTTCAACAAACTTTATCTTGTACATTATTGATAAAATACGTATCGGAAGGGGATAATCGGCCAGATGCAGTTATGATGTTGCAAAGATTATTTGCCGTACTCGGAACAGCAGAAATTCCTCAAAGGATAAAATGTCCCTCTTCATGGCAGTTCGTATTTGGAGGACCCCCGCCATTGGGTATATATTAACAGCTATATTGGTGTAAATATTTATTAATAAACTTATATAAATATTTTAGAAAGTAGTGTTATTTTGCCCCTCCTTGGAATTCCATTCCTTGGAATTTGTATAAAACATTATAAGTGCAACCAAAATAAATACAAGTATTAGTACACAAAGCCTAAAAAAAAACAAATCATTAAAATACAGAATAATAAATTATACAGAATGCTGCTTACAGGGTCACCAATATAAACACTAATTTTAGATCGGTGTTATACTCCTCAAGTAACATACTACGCATTTCCTGTTTGATACAAACGATTATATAAATATGAACTTATAACCTCTGATACGACCAAATGTTAATGTGACAAATTAATGTAATGCAGTGTTTTTTTTTTATAAAGGCAACTAGATTATTTTAAATATAATATTCGGGAACGAGAAATATCAGTGGAAAATGTATTGTGCAAATAAGGAAATCCTACTGTTTTACATGTTTTTTATTCAGTTTAATTTGGGACAACCATTGTCTTCAATACTTGTACATTTTTGCAGGAACCTCAGAAATTGCCCGCTATCTTGTAGTCTTCTCCGCAATTGCCAGTTATTTCCGATAGGCAGTGGCGGAGGTGTGATTCTTAGAGAGCAGACATTTAGGCATTCGATATTGTTTATTGAAATCAATAATCAATGATGCAATATCTAGATTTAATGTTCAAAATAGTCCCCAAATAGATTAATAACTAACAAAAAAATAATAAACTGCATAACATATTTCTACACAATCTTTCTCTTTTTGAATGTATTAAAGCTAGCATTTTGACGGTTTTTGTATTCCGAGATAAAAAAATCCTTATGGCTGCCGAGTATCTATTCCCGAATTCATGATAGTTTCCTTTCACTGAAATGATAATGTTTTTCCCGACTAAAAACTCTGAACGGTCCAAACACATTATATAGAAGGCTGAGGGTAGATAGAGGAGACCGGTACATGGGAACTTTTAAATTTTTTCCTTCATATGAGGGTCAACATGAAGATGTGCATAAAAATTCAGGAAAAAGACAAGTTTCTCCTTATTTAGTTGTTGCTGAGACATTTTTCAAGAAGTCACGGCAACTTATTATGAAAAATCTGACGTAACATTTTTCCACATTCCCCAAATTTCATATTAAAAATTATGCAGGTAATTAAAAACAAATAGATTTTTTTTGTATTTATTTCTTTTAACATTTTATCGCAAAAGTACAAGTAAATTTATTTACATTTTGTGCAAAAAATTAGTTCAACATTTGTTCAAATTGACTTCCACTCTGTGTTCTCAACCTGAAGCGGGGCAATTATTGTACCCGTAGCGTAAAATTATCGTAATTGGCCCAAAATTATCGTACTTATCAAAATAACATTCATAATGAATTGTAACGATAGGAGGTAGCTGTCCCCCCCCAGCTGCTGGTCTGCTGGGGAAATCGTGCTCTTCGGTCGGAGGGTGGGTGTCGTACCCTAAAGGTTTGGGATTGAGCTCCAATATAAACACCGCTAGTTCAAATTATACTTTTAATAAGAAATTATGTCACAAAAGAAACAAACAAAATAAACAAAAAAAGAAACGATTCCTATACAACAAATAAAATTTCGGTACTTCTTCGGTCCCGGGAGTAGGTTGTAACCTCTGGTACCCTAGAGAGGATTTTTAATGTCTTACCCTTCCTTGGACTACTATCTGAACTTACGTACACTATTCGATTATTCCGCTTTAAACTAATTTATTTCAATTCCTGTCATCACCAATTAATACAATCCACTTATTTATTACAGATCCAAGAGTAAAGAAAAATGATTTCTAGTTTCTCGCGCTACACGTACTAAACCGGTCTCTTCCCTTTACGATGCCTGACTCCCTCTGGTCTCTTGCGTATCCCACTCCAGCCTTTCGTGGAGTAAGCACTTTTATTCTCTGGTGTTATAGAATAAATAAATCATATTAAATGTAATATTGATATTTATATAAGGTGTGGCGTGGACACCTTCCAAACGATGTTTGTAATAGAAAAGTTCTGTCCGTGTGCTGTACGATGAGTTATGTGCTGTAGACCAGCTGCATAAACAAATCGTTATTGAAAGATAGAAAGATACTTCTCAATTTTTAGGGAATTTTTCAATGCAAAAGTACAAACTAAGAAAAACGGATATTTAAAAAAATGCATTGTTGTTACTGCAAGAGTTTGCAAACAAAACCACATCCGTAAGCATCTGTAGTGCCAACTGCGCGAACTAAACAAACTCCATTAAAATATGGAACAAAATGAAATAAAACTTACCATTTCTAGAGAAAATGTTGAAATTGATCCCCAATAGCGTGGTTACAGGCATGGCACCGATGCAACCAATTTGGGCGAATATTTTTCCAAATTCCAGGTATTCCCCTAATTGTGTCAGCAACTTCAAGTATACGGTTTCGCAATTCTTCCACTGTAGAGTATTGTAAACTAATGACTTCAACTGACTATAAAGATAAAAGTCCGTTGGAGTTAGATCGGGTGACTGAAGTGGCCATGGCACAGGACCAAAGCGTTCAATCCATTACCGAGGAAATATTTCATTCAAAAGTGTCATTACTTCTCGAGTACTGTGTGGAGGAGCCCGATCTTGAAGATAAAACATGCGTGCTTGAACTTGTAATGCTAGATCGTCAAATAATTCAGGCAACCGGTTCTCCAAAAAGTCAGCATATGTTGGTCCATTTAGTCGTCCTTCAAAGAAATAGGGACCCACAAGTACATCGCCTATTATGCCAGCCCAAACATTTACCGAGAACTGATGTTGACAATGAGTTTCCCTATTCGCGTGAGGATTTTCATCGGCCCATATGTACATATTATGGAAATTCACTTCATCACGGGGAAATGTCGCCTCATCTGTTACATAAACATAAGCAGGAAAGTCTACTTGATTGGCACATTGCAGTAAAAACCATCTGCAAAATCACATTCATTGATCACAATCTGAGGGTAAAATCTGTTGAACTGGTTGCAGGTGATAGGGGTGCAACAGCTAGCACCTTAAATTGCGATGTACGGTACGAGATAAGGTTGCTACTTGCTGCGCGAGTTGTCGAGTACTAATTGTGGGGTCTTCGTCAAGATTTTCCAACACTGCATCTTCAACATTAAGGTTCACTTGCTGACCATGTCCGTCTCCTCGAGGAATAACACTTCCCATATCTCGCAGCCGCTGAACGCATTGTAGGATTGTATTTGCATATGGGGGCGGCCATCGTTCTCAGTACAACCTAGTCGCCACGAGCGCATTTTCTCTGGTTGCACCATACACTAACACCATATCGACATGTTCGGAAATAGTAAATGCATTGTTTTCTCGGTACATTGTAAAACTACTTTGTGCACAAACTAAAAAATTAAGCAAAGTAAGAAATAAGAATCTCGTTTTTAATGTGATCGGCACGCTATTCTAATTTTTTAGTACTTTATAAAAATTACACTGTCACTATCGTGGAACTTCAAAATAAAAGCTTTTGTCTGGAATCTTTCACTTTTTAACACTGATGGGTCGATGGACGATGCTTTTTAATAATTAAGTGATTAATGAATTCAATACAAATACAAAATCGGTTGACCGAACAAATTTTTTGACAATGTAACCTAACATTTTCAGTATTAGTAGTATTAGATTGTACCGACTTAAATTATAAGGTTGCATATCGGGTCGCATAAAAACATTTTCAAATTTTTTAGTAAATAACACAGGGTAGGACTTCATTTTCATTGAACAAATGAACTTTAATTTACAAAAAAAAAGCGCGAAGATAAAATTTTTTTGTTTAGGACTTTTCTATTACAAATATCATCAGGAAGCTGTAGTTTAATTTTTATAGAATATACACGCCACACCCTGTATATGATGCAATTTACTTTACTGATGGTGACAAGTAAATTTCACAGCAAGAATGCGACAAATGGATGAAATCAGGTCTCTGGATGAAACGATTGACACATGAGTCGGCAAGACAGCACACGTGACCTAAGGAAGGAATGTGCCAATAAATAGCATTGTTAGCAAAAAGAAAGAATAATGGAAATTATTGTACAATCTGCGTGTACTATCATAATATGTTGTAGGCATAAAATTATCGTATATGTACGATAATTATCGTATGGCTGCAAACACTGCTTCCTCTATCTTCATGGCAATACACGAGACGATGCTCCAATATTGCCGAACCTTATTTAGAAAATATTAATTAGATCCAACAAAACTGTATTTCGAAAACAGTTAATTTTAGAATCATGATACATGAAATATAATCAGAAAATGTTGAAAAATGAAGGTTTTCATATGAAAAAAAAAGTATTAACGACTTTATTAAAGTTACTGCTGGCTGCCATAGTGATTGCAAAGCAAGTACGTTGTTTGGTTGTGCCAAAAAGTCAAACAGCAACAACTCATGTAAAAAAATATATTCTTAATCATAAATAAGTATACATAGTTATTACTAAATCATATATACACACACATATTTTTTTTAAACTGCTTCTGACATATCAGCCGTGTTCTGATTTTCATCACTTCCATCTTCTACAGTGGAACAGTCAAGATTTTTTTTATTCAGCGAGGCTGTAAATTTGACTATATTCGTTAAAACGAGACGCTCTCTAATATTCTAGAACCCAGAAAATTATAAACTTTTTTCCTAATATGATTTTATAGTCGAGGAAATGAGACACTGAACCTCCCAAATCTGTGCAGGAAGATGGTTCGTGATGCGGTTTTTTGTATTTGATTCATTAGAATGTCCAGCATGTTTGTGACCCAATGAGAAATGAAAATTGCATTGGTGCATAAGAAAATTGCATTCTTAAAATTGCATCTCGAAGAGTTAAAATACGAAAAATACCACGATAGCAATGGTCTCGAAGGTACCTAGTGCCCAGGGTGGCCGGTTTCCACGTCGTCTCCTGGAGTTTTGTGGAAATCCGTTATAAACTTAGCCGAAACTCATTACCTCGGTGTTTTTGAGGTCACTTACCTAAAATTTCATCAATGCTACTAACTGTATTAAAAGCGCCAAATTTTAAAAAAAATGTTTTGGATAATTTATTTAGATATTCGATAAAGCTTATGATGATGGCATCGGTACCTCGGAGACCATTACCGTTGTAATATTCGTGTTGAGCGACCCCAAAAACCCCGAGGTAACGAGTATCGACTAAGTTTATAACGAATTTCCAAAAAACTCCAGGAGACGGCATGGAAACCAGCCACCCTGGGCACTAGGTACCTCAGAGACCATTGCCGTCGTGATATTCGTGTTGAGCAACCCCAAAAACCCCAAGGTAACGAGTTTCGACTAAGTTTATAACGAATTTCCACAAAACTCCAGGAGACGACGTGGAAACCGTCTACAATGGCACTAGGTACCTCGGAGACTGTTGCCGTTGTGATATTTGTGTTCAGTGACTCCAAAAACCCCCGAGTAGTAAAATTGGACTTATTTCCGTCAATATTTTCCCAGTTATAAATTTTTTATTTTTTAACTCTTCGAGATGCAATTTTAAAAATGCATTTCTCTTATGCACCGATGCAATTTTCATTTCTCATTGATCACATAGGGTCACAAACCTTCTGGATGCTCTAACGAATCGAATGCAAAAAACTGCATCACGATCCATCTTACTGCACAGATTTCGCAGGTAAGGCCGTTTTTAGTGCTTTATTTCCTGGTCTATTAATACTTACATCTCGTATTTCATCGCATATCTTCAACAAATCCCTAATAATTAGTTTATCGGATATATCCAACAGCAGAAGCATCTTGGATAAAGTTACATTAAATTTAGTTTTCGGGTTATCTTTTATTTCGAAACAAATTTTTAGCGCTAGGTTCGCCTGAATCTGGGTGTACTGAAAAAATACGTTCGTTTTAAAATCATCCAAAAAAGATGGCTTTCAAAGTATTTTGAAATAAAATTCAAAACGGATAATTTTTTTTAGACGAAGATTATTAAATGTAGATGAAAAATTTCTATTCTCTCTGTGGAACTCACCTTTGGTGACGTCTTGCACAGAGCTATCATGAAATTTGCGATATTGTCGATGTTTACATCTGCTAGGGGGCTAATTTTAGGAGCGTATGCCAATACCTTTAAAGTCATAAGTACAGCCTGTTCAAGTTGGTCGATAGTGGCCGTCATAGGTACTCTTTGCAACGTAAATCCAATTATTTGAGTGAGTTTTTGGGCGTCATCATTTTCCCCATCTAGAAAAGTACACTGAATAAATGATATAAACAAGCACGTTGCAAGATTTATATACCTGAAGCTGGACTACACCATTTTAATACAAGACGGGAAATAAGCGAAGACGAGTGTATCGTATCGCTCAGTATCAACTGGCACAGACCCCAGACAGCTTTCTCCTGAATCTCGTATTGCTAAAACGGATTAAATTTGTATGCAGTTTATTTGTTTTGTAAAAAAGCTACGTGTTTTCCATAAATTAAATTCTAAACGAGGTGTAACGAGAATGAACTGTAGTAAATAGGACTTTATGTATGATAGGATAGGTAAATTTGAGCCACCCTGTATAACTGTGTGGTTCGGTGAGAGGAAGTTTAGTCTGGAAATTATCGGACGATAAGATTTGCTTCTCGGAGAGCAACTTCGCGACAAGTTCTTGTGGGAAGCGAGCGTCGTCGGTTAAATGTCCATCGCGGTGCAAAATTTTATCGTTCCAATAGGAACTGCGTACCAAAAGTGAACCCGAGAGGTGGAGACGGTAAATCGCCTGGTGGCAACTTCGGGTACCAAAATTTTGTGGAATTTGCTAAAATTAAAATTGAACTCGAGACGGCTCGAGTAGAAAATTTTACAGTCAGTCGTTGCAGGGCTCTGGGAATCGAAAGTAATTGTGAGGATCCGGGATGCGAAAGTCGTTGCCAACTAACAACCGTTGCTCCTATCGTAAAGTTCGGCGATGAAGCACCAACATAAACACCTATATTTTGAAGGCATATAGAATTCAATCGTGGATGTGATTCGCCAACTGACAGATCGTTTGTTGTTCAGGTGATGAATCATAAATCTATGCCATTTGTTTGACAGAAATTTTTTGAAAAATAAGGGAGACCAACCGCCGAAGGCGCATCATTCTGCACCAGGACAATAAACTTTTTGAGAAAGTCCAATTGATAAGCCATCCACCGTGCAACCCTGATTGGACCCCCAATGACTTATTTTTATTCCAGCACATCAAAAATAAATTATGAGGTCAACGTTTTTAAACAACTGAGGAAGCAGTAAATGCGTTCAAAATGCACGATTCGGTTGTACCTCGATCGGAATTGAAAGAAAGCTTTGAAAATTGGTGCAAGCGCATGCAAAAGTGAATTGATCTTTATCGAGAATATTTTGAAAAACAATAAAACCATATACAGTTGGTAATAAATTATACAGGGTATAGCAAAAGTATCGGAACAGCAGAATCACTGGGCGGGAGAGCATTTTAGAGAAAAATGTTGACCTTGAAATGATCTTCAAGATCAAGGGCAATGTCAAGGTCGCCATCGGACAGCCAGGGAGAAATCCTGAAACTTTTGTATTTAACATTTTTCTCTCTAAAATGCTCTCCCGTCGAGTTATCCTGCTGTTCCTGTACTTTTGTTAGTTTGACCTTGTGGGGGCTCCAAGGTCGAAAAGGAGGGGTCAGTCAAGGTCATATCTGAACGTCAAATTTTCCGCTCTTTTCTTTTCTGGGGTCAAAAGTATAGGGTCCCATTTGAAAAACCACATTTGACCTTGAAATGATCTTTAACGTCAAGGTCAATGTCAAGGTCACCATCGGATAGCCAAGGAGAAATTCTGAAACTTTTGTATTTAACATTTTTCTCTAAAATGCTCTCCCGCCAAGTTATGCTGCTGTTGCGGTACTTTTACTATACCCTGTATAGTACACTGGCGCAGATTTTGTAGTTCTTTCAGAAGTTTTACGTCTGCGAGTTTTTCAATTTTGAGTTTTGTTTGATCTATTAACTGGTGGCTCAGTCAGTGTGTTTGTATTTCTGTAAGTAGGGGCCAGTTTTTTAGGGGCGATAGTATGTGTTCCCCTGAAAATGAATCTGAAATCTTTGTTTTTTAATCAAATAAATATTCGAGTCATAATTAGGTTTTTAAAATACACTTTAATTCTTGTGTACGTCGTCACTGTAATACTCATGTATTCATAACGATATTGTTGGCAACCTACAGTGCACGTGGAGGGAGATAGTGCGGGTCACCGGTGACGAAGGGAAGGCGATTAGTTGTTGTTCCACATTTGAAGACAGTACATATAATTGTGAATTTGAATGTTTTTCATTATTATTAAATTCCAAACAAACTCCGTACCCTGAGGTCCACATAGTTAAAAGTGGTAAGTTGCACATTTAAGAGATTATGTGAGCTTTTAACGCTAAAACGCTAATGCTGGATGGGAACAAATTCAGAGAAGTGTGTCTTATGAAAAAAATTATACAAAAGCACAAATCTTACAAAATACAGTAGTAAAACTAGGCGTTACAAATGAAATATGATAACAAACCTCATCATCCATAAGATCGACTAGACCCTGAATTAAATCGGTAAGAGAAGTCCCACCAGCGAACACCCGCTCGTGGGCTTCTTCCATACTCTCCGATGGTACATTGTCATCTGGGGCAGCAATTAACTGGGCTCCGTATATTCTCAGCAAGTCGACGGTGGCTCCTATGCACACAATGAGTGTCTGCGTGTCGCACTCTTCTCCACTTTGATACGCAAATATCTGAAAGAATACACAATTTGTTTCAAATTTTTTGTGGTTATGAATGACTCTATTTTTACCGGAGTTGAAAAAATGTGAATGCCGTTCGAAGCGCTGTCTTTGTCAACGATGCAACATAAGGCGTAACATCTTAGTGCCTTTGCTCGAACGTTATCGTTGTCGTGTATTAACAATTCTTGGATAACATCATTTTTTAGCGCTCTAAGTGTTGAGTTTAACTCGGTGATTTGCGGTGATAACAGAAGACTGGCCGCAACGTCTAGATATTTTATTATGGTCGGTATGTCGGTCCTTTTCTGTACTTGTTGTGGTACGTCCTGCGAATTTTTCAATTCCTTATATGCTGCGTTAACTTCGATAAGTTCTCTTTTAAAACGTTCGGCTTCCATGAAATTTTCTTCCTTTACAGCCGTGTTTTGTTTCTCTAATAAGCAGTTTATTTCTACCATAACTTTAGATAGCTAGAAATAATTATAGCAGGTATTTTTAAGAGTTTCATGTGTTTTGGAGCTTAATTTATTTATCATTAATGTTATTGCTATTCTTTTTTTGGTTACTCATTCAGCTTTAATGAATGTCATAAATAGAATCGTTTCGAAACGAAAACAGTAAAAATAATGTTTTTTTGTGTACTTTCCACAGAAATTGGATTGGAGACATGTAAGAAAAGTTTATTTTTCACTTTCCACTACAATCCACGATATGCGAAATCCAAAAAGATAAAGAACGTAAGCTTTTGAAGACTTAACAATTGAAATTCTTGATAGTATTGTTGAGAATTTTAAAATATAAAAATTGACATATTGACAAACATGCAAACAGCAATAAAAAATAAGAAATATGAATATATCACAAATTATAAGAAATAGTCGTACCGTAATAAAATAGAAAGCAAATTAAACTTTTACATTTCTTTTTCAAACTAAAATGTAAAGAAACAAAATAATGCAATAATAAATAATGCAGAAGATTTTCCTATGCTTAAGCAGTGAAAACCACAAAATTCGATTTTTTTTAATTGCATAAATTGTTAGTACAACTATTCAAGAATACATTGCAAAATTTCAAAACGAAATTCCTATTCGTTTCGATTTTACGAGTCTAAAACCGAACGCCGATCAAGTCAGCGCTCGGGGGCAAAGCAGTAGGGTGGAGCGCTTGTTCAGGAACTCGAGCTCAAAAAGTTATGAAAATTGTGTTTCTTTATGAAATTATAAAGAACATGAAGCGACAATTGGGATTTCATAATTTTAAGGGTTTTTTATTCAAAATAAGTGAAAAAAAATGGTGAAAATCGATACATTTTTTCAAACGTGTTAAAACTTCCTTTTTGCACAATTTTTACCCGCAATGAGGTTCGTATTCTTAGAAAACATGCAGGCAAAACAACTGTTTTGCTTTTAGGTTAAAATTGCGATAGCCCATAACTTCGTCATTTTCAACACAAATGACTTGAAAAAATTTGTAAGTATAGTTCATCATATTGATAAAATAATGTCGAAATGGTAAAGGGGCTTATAATAAACGAAAAAAAAAAGAAATGCCTGAGCAGGGGTAGCGGAGGGTTAGATTTGGGGGGTTGAAAAGTTGTGAAAAATTTTTTTTTGAGCAATTTTTCGGTTTTTTTGGGCCACCCTAATAAATATATCTTTTTTGAACTGTCATTCATTTGAAGACAAATCAGTCTTTCAAGAATTAATTAAAATAATATTTCAATTATCGCCTGAAAACAACTCATTTAACAAAAAAAAAACAAACTTTTTTCTTGAGCCTACTGCTCAATTAAACATATTTTGAAAAGAAGCAGTGGCGTACTTACAATTTTTTCAATTAAAATATTGAATATTATGTTGATACACATGATATAGGTAGAAACAGGAAAAGATTCTCTTGAAAGAACATCTTTTTATAACATTTTGACATATATCAAGAAAATTCAGTTTGTTTTTGAAAAACTGATGAAAAACTTTGCCAACACTTTTGAAACGGAAATTTTGTGGATACATATGCAACGTTTCTGTCTATTTTAATAGCCTTAAACAGGGTTCATAGTTTAAAAGTAATATTAAATTCCATGACTTTTCCAGACTTTCCCCGACTTAAAATAGTTTTCTCTTTAAGAACCCAGAGCCGGTTTTCACAAAATTTCCAGTTGCAAACATCATATTCCCTGACTTTCATGAATACTTTTAAAATTCCCTGACTACTCCCTGTTTTTTATGAAGAACAATGAATTCCGACTTTTCCCGGTATTCCCGGTTTTCCAGGCCGCTATCAACCTTGTTAAAATATTTCCCTTACACCCTGAAACACCCCGTATTGATTTTTATTTTTAGGTCTATACAACTCACTTGAAACTCCTTTTCTCGTTCCCTTTCTTGAGACTTCTCGGGATCCATGGGAAACATGATTTCTGATATTACCTCACTAACGAATTGAGATCTGCTATTAACATTGGGAATGGAATTTTCCAATGACTTAATTATGACTTCGATTACGTCTGACATAAGATCGACCTTTTCTAAAATATTGCACACCAACGAATTTAAACATTGCCTGTTAATAATATCTGCAAAATCATAAGTTTTGATAATTAGAAATAACTGTTTGAGGATGAACTGTTTTTCCAAAAAATCAACAGTCGCAGTACCCGTTTCCTTTTTGGAGTAGTACCTAAAAGTTAAAATATTCATTTTTCCTATACGAATAAGCAATTGGTTTTGTGCACTTCCGAATCTGTACAAAATAAAATTGCGGCTTTATAAAACACGGATTAAATAAATAATTCACATGCGAATGGAGTACGATTGAGTCGTAAATCCACAAAACCAGTACTAAGTAAATTTAACATACTCTTTCACATATCGGCAGAAGAAAACTAATTCAGGTACAACTTTATCCAATTCGTCCTCGAATTCTTCACGTTTACTTAAAAACTGAACGTAAAGTCTCCAGTAACAGGCAGTTTCCCAATTTAAACACTCCGCCGGTATTAATTTTGTATCGTCCAGGTTTAATAATTGCGTTAGTTCCCTTAGTGGTTTGGTTCTATAAAACTGAGAGTAGTAGTCCCATAATTAAAAAATAATTTACCTACTTAAAAATGGTTCTTAAAATATGTCCGAATAAAATTAAAGTTTCTTCAATATCACTTTCATTAGCATCCAACCTTACGGACTTCATTAAAAGTAAAACGTTGTCCTGGTAGTGGTCCAACCAATTTGGGATCAAGTGTGTAGTCATAAAATCTACAACTTTATCCGAGGTATCTAAAAAGCCACAGTGGAGAATGTGCCTTTTCTGTGATATCTACAAAAGTAAATTAATAAAAACCAAATACAGAAATTTTGTATGCTGTAAATATTTACCTTGAGATATTTCGCAAAATTTGTAAGTCTTTTGTAAGCAGCTAACCTAACATTTACATCCACATCTCTAATTCTTTTAATAATATGATTGGTAACATCTGCCCGTAACGCGATATTTTCAATGCATAGCAACCTTACCTGTAGATAATAAAAATTATTAGTTAATACCTTTATTATTATTCTAAAACGTTGAGAAAAGTCTACCTTTGCTAAGGTGTCATGGTTCATTAACCCAATTAACTCCATAATAATTACATCTTGTGCATTTGTTGGATCTTGTAAGCGATGTAATGCTAAGACTGCCTGTTGCCTTACTATATTTTTAGGATCCTATAAAAGTTTTGTAATATCAACGAAATGAATAACGTTTTGAAATCAAATAAACATTAAAACTACAATATAACAGCAAATTGTGTGTGGAAAATTCTTACATGGATACGTTTTAATAGAGATTCCTCTAATTTATCGCACAATAAATTACTAACATCAGATCCGACCAAGTGATCCAATATTTTATTGATTAACTGGCATGATCTGAATCGTACTATATCGTTCTCCAGTTCAGATGTCTACAATGTGTAAAAAATATTAATGGGCATAATTAACAATACTGGAACTTACCTCTAGAAGATATGAAATTATTTCGAATACAAATGGATGTTCTATGTAGTTATCTGTTTCATTACAGTCTGGTTGATTGGGTTTAAGTACCGAACAAAAGCTAGCCACAAAATTCATTGTTTTTTCAATAAATGTTGTACCACCGTCTGTTGTTAAGATGGGTACTAAAATTTTCTTAAATTCGGTAGTAAATAATTCGCCATCAGACTGCAAATTTTGTTATTTAACACAGTCGATATATATTTGAGGTTAACTTACAGTTTCATAAAGTCTCTTCAACAAAACTGAATTTTTTTGATGAACGGCTGCTGTAACCTGTGCTGAATTAAATATTTCGGTAATATGTTTTCTAATTTGGTTTATATCATTTACTGTCATTTTCATTTCTCGTTTCGTTTCGATGGGACCGTGCGCCTAACCGTTAATAATTCAAATTTAAATCGAATGTCAACATTGTCAAGAAACCATTGAACAACAAATATTAAAAAAAACATAACAAAACAAAATTCCCTAATATACAGGAAATCTCTATTAATAATTAGGCAATTTTTATTGTTGTTTTTTATTTCATCATCGAGTTTGTTCCTCAAAATTGATGTTTATTATGGTTTTATCGGTTTATTACAAATTAACACCTGAGAAAACTGCTGCTGAGTATATGTAACAACTTATTTGTAACGTTTGTGCGAATATCCACTTATTTTAAATGAAGAAACTGACACTTAATGGAACCCATTATATGTCAAGTCCAGTAAAGGGACGCGTGATCTATGCGCAATAGCAAGCCCCGCCCCTAGTCCACCAACAAGCTTAGCTTAGCTTTCAGCTATTGAGGTTGTCACTTAAAGCGACATAAAAAATGAAACTAGGGTCTATTTTTTATAAATAGGTTAGACAGGCAGTGAAATTTACTGTTTTCTATACTGTGCCCCTACGGGCATGGGCGAAGGTAGGAATTTTGCTGGGAGTGAGCCTTGAGGGTACATTTGGTCTGCCAGCTAGGTCGACCAAAAATATAATATTATTGGATCGTTTTTTTTTCTGGGGTGGGCAAACTAACGGTTCATCGCGCTCATAAACATAATCTTTTAAATGTACAAATTTACAATATATGTGCTTATTCCTGCATAATTGTTGCGGGTACGAAATTTTTACTAATATGAGGAAACGAACGATTTGTACCCTGGTTTTATAAGCTAATCTAATGATATGTATAAACTGATCAAAATTTAAATGCGCGCTGGCATTATCTAGAGCGGTCTGAAAGAGATCGTGTTTGGGGAATCGTGTCTTTTTTTCAGTACACGTAAAAGCAATTTTCACTTACCTTGATATTTTTTATTTTACTGTTCATATTCTACTTTTCCTATTTCCCTTGAGTGGACGGGCAAATTATAATTTAACCTCAATCTCGGTGTGCTTGTAAATAAATGAACCAAAACTTAACATCAACAAAAATTTCTTTCTTTATTTTAATCACATATTAATTGAGCTGCATTTGTTATAACTATTTCCTCCCTTTTTAGTACACTGCGTGTACCAGAATGTACTGTGTAGCTCACTTAATAAAATTGTTTAGCAGATACATGGAACATATTGTTTAAAAGAATTATGTATTATTTTTGAACAATGATAGAATCCATTTTTAGCTGATTATTATTTATTAGCGATTAAAAAATTATGTTAGGAAAATAAAGAAAATTTTGGAATTAATTTTTATTTAGTGATTATTTTTGTTGAATTTATTTCTTTGTATTTATTTGAGTTAAAAAAGTGTTTTCACTACTCATTTATCTTTTGGGAAAGTGGCAATTGGTAAAAGTACACCCAATACCTGCCCTGTATGATATTGCGTGAGTGTGGATCACATACTTCTATCCTATACTGATCATTACCTATAGTTTCAATGGATGACCTTGTTTCCAAAAAGGGGGGGCGAGACGTACTCCGTGTGTTTTGCGCATGTTCCATAATTAGGCGCGGTTGCATTCAAATTTAAAAGATTGTCACGGCATGCTCTGTACTATAGCCGATTATATACATATAAGATATTAAATCTATTTTCACTGAGTTCACTTCAATTTCTAAATGTTTACTTTTCTACCATTTTCTTCTATGAGTCCTCTACTGATATGGCCCTTATCTAAACATTATTTTACTATTTAGTTATTTCAATAAATAACGTAAGTATCTGCATAACCTATTTAATATTTTGCAGGCTCAAATAAAATAAAACAGAATACAAATTTATATGCTTTTAAAACTATATACATATGCATGTTCGTAATTTTGGACATTTTTTTAAATGACATTGGTGTATTTATTAAACAAGACTTAGTATTTCAAAAAATCGCCACTATTCGCTCTAGCCGGGCACAACTGACAATCTCTTTTTTATAAAAAAAGTTCATTATATAATTATTTATTATAATGGTTTCTGCAGTTTATTTGATAATATAAAAAAACATGCTATAAAATATCTGTAAGAGACCAATCCGATAATAATGTCCACGATTAAGGTGGCCATATCCCTGGCCGAGAAATGGTGAAATTTCAGGCATTCTTATGTACTGAAATCTTGAAAAATAAAACGTGTAGAACAACAGTAAGCACAAAAATAAAATCCTTGATGTTTTATTTATTTATTGTTACCATTTAAATTTACCCAAATAAAATAATAACTAAAAAAAAAGCGTTTGTAAAACATGCGTTTTCTGTTTATCCTAACCCCACATTTTAAGAATTATTTTCACGTACTTATAAATAAAAGTAAACAATTTTATATGTAGGACTAAGGAAGTAAATGTTATAATATTTACATGTGGAGTTATATATAAAGAAGTTAGTATTTTCGTAGATTTCAGTACCTAAAACCTTGATGGTTTGATCGTTTTTTGCACCTGTTTATTCGTTTTACTGCGGCGTCTTTGAAAATACTCAGGTGGCATGACATAACATCCCTATTATTTGATAAACTTTAGATTATTCAGTTATTAAATGTTTGAAATTATTTGTCTTTGCGGAAAACACTATTTAAGGCCCTTAAGGAAGGCTCTTATCGAGTATAATTTTGAAACATTTTTACTAAATATCGACACAAGACAAATTAATAAAAGAATTAGTGCAGGTTTAAACATATTATGAAATAAAACTCAAAAGATACATTTATTTATTTATTAAAATATACACTATACCATAACAGTTTCACCAAAGCACTGACACAACACAAACCAAAATGAGAATATTTTTTAGGTTAGCTCGGTTTGGCTTTTTACCGCTCGGCGCTCACCGTTCTTGGTTCTTTTCAACCAATCAAAACCCGTAAAGTAAACGCATGCGTATTAATACGCTGGTACGTCGCCCCACTTTTCGGCTTCAAGTCAATTGCAAAATGATCAGTAGTGATGGGCATAATCGACCAATTTTGATAATCGAGTTATCGGCAATCGAGTACTTCTAATAATCGAGTGATCACTCGAGATACGAGATATTGGTCGTTTTCATCCCAGCGGCGCACAAATATGTTTGTATTAGTCATATATTACTTATGAGCGTAGCTAAAAAAAAAAAAAAGCTCACGCACTTCAAAACCTAACCACTTTTTCGTTTTATTCTAAAAAAAAGCTTACGCAATCAGTGACTATTTGCAGTATGCACTAACATTTTGGGGTGCAACCGTAGGGTAATAATCACTCGAGTGGTGGGAGTAAACATCTCGAGATATCTCGAGTGATCTCAATAATCGAGTACCACTCGATTTTTCACTCGAAATCTCCCATCACTAATGATCAGTATGGGATAGAAGTATGTGGTGTGGATGCACTGCTCTTGATTTGGCTTCACAACTTCGACGTTCGTTTGCACCCTTCAATATAAAGATCAGAGATCAGACATCCGAAACGGATCTTTGAGAAGGAACCGACTCACTCGGATCAGTATGAAGAGCCGGCTCAGTGAATCGGATCAGTCATGTTCCGCCCATCTCTATCGTCCATATCATACCGTGTTCACCCATTCTCCGCAGATAAAAAATTTGAAGTAATTTTAGAAAGATGATGTCAAAAAATTATAAATTGAAATGAATGGAATTTAACTAGAAGTATTAATACTTTTAAGTTATATCAGCAAAGCGTTCAAAGTTGTGAATTATTCTTGAATGTTTGAATGACTACTGCTTCTCAAACTACGAGAGAAAAATATTAACAATGTATATATTTATTAATTTTTTTGATCATTACAAAACACTATCTATTAGAATTAAGTTAAGAAACAAGTCGTGCAACTTTGATCGACACTCTTACATTTGAGCAATGATATATTAAAAAACACAAACAAACCCCTAATCTAATGGGCATGATATGTTTTAATTTCATTTTATTTACATATATTACAATATTTCTTATAAAAGAAATAAGATAGAAAAAATTTGATTTATTTACACATTTGTCTACTGGCGATTGTTTATTTACAGTCATGGAAGAATGAACTAAGAAATCTGCGACTTCGAGTTCAGTGTATTTTAGGGACGCATTAACCGATATTTTTTTGTGATATTCTTTAATTTCAGTTCAGCTTTTACTGGCATTAGATTTTGCTGATATAATTAAGATATTTACGAATTCAAAGTCGCAGACCAAGGACAATTTACATCTATACCTAGTTCTAAATTAACACAAATTTAAAAAAGTTACAACAAACAAAATTGGAACCAACATCACAGATGTTTCACTGAAATTTGATGCTTCACTTAGAGCACTTGCATGACAACTCATGTCCTCTGGTGGTAGTTGTACTATGGGTATCCGAATCCCTGTTGTCATATCGACGCACGTGGCTTCTTTCACCATTTCGTGCATCCTTATGGCTGTCTCAACCGCGGCATTGTGAGACTGCAGACTTTCTCTGGTCCAGCGTCTCAACCAATGGCCTAACCAAGCCAGATGACAACCACATCGGAAGGGATTGTCGGATATGGACAGGCCACCTAAAAGATACAAATAAAGTCTTTCATCCCTTCCCAGTTGTCTTGTTATTTTTACAATTTGAAAAAAAAATCTGGATTTAATACGAATTTTGATAAAGAAATTAACACATATTTTTTTAATTTTGTATTTACCTACTCAATGTTCGATGCTTTTAGTGCAAAGGGTTTGTTTAATTTTTTTCTCCTCGGTGTTCAAATTCCAATTAAATAAAAAATACCAAAAATTAACAGTCTGTGTTTATTAGCACTAAAAACCTAATAAGTAACTTGCAAAAGCAAAAGAAAGAACGAGAGAATACTATGTATTCATTTCATTGTGTGTTTCCAAAAACATAAAAATTTTGTGTCACTACATAAATACCTGATATCAGTGTGGTCCCGACATTCTTCCACGTCGTAGAATTCCCATAAAAGATTTCAGGGTTTAAGTACGACAACATATTGTACCTTAAGTCGATCGTCAAGTACGATATTTTATACATGTTGGAGAATAGTCCTGCGGGCAACTCTTCTATTTGCGTGCCATGAATTTTTAAAATAAGGTCCGGATTTCTGGTAAACGTAGCGAAAGCATCTTTATCGATGAATTTGAGATTCCTTCCGGTGATTTCTAGATGTCTAATTTTTCTGTTTCTAATACACAGCAGTTGGTCATCCAGTCTAGTTTCAGTGAAATGAATTTTGAGTATCCTTAGCTGGTCCAGATGTGACAACATATGACAAAACTGATCGGAAAAGTGATCTATCTTTGGCCAAGTTTGCATCACTAATGTAGATAATACTTTAAGCTGCAGTATACTCTTGCTCTCGAACTTATTCAAGTACTTCAAATTTTGTATATTTAATTCCTGCAGGTTCGTTAAACCGTAAAAATTGTCCACCACAAGTTCTTTGATCGGATTGTAAGATAAATCCAGTATTTTCAAATTTGGCAGATGGATCCACAAGTGGGAGGGAACCTGATATAAATCGTTGTGACTCAAATCGAGCGACTTCAGTTTTGATAATTCCTGCACCGAATTTTTATTAATAGCCTCGATGTGATTATGTGAAAGATTTAAATGAATCAAGTTAGGTAAGGGTAAATGTGGGGTCGAGGTAATTCCGGAATTAGCTAGATTAAGATGTTTCAAACTTTGAGCATAGTGAAATAGTTCCTTGAAGTTGGCACGCAGAGGGTTAAAACTTAGGTCAAGAGTTTGCAACAACCCTAAACTTGTAAAAACATTGTCGGGCAGTATAGCTAGCTTGTTATTACTTAAATCTAGATGCTGTAACGAAGGGATGTCCGGAAAAGTTGTTATGTCTATATGTTCAATGTTGTTGGAGTGCATAGACAAGTGTCTCAAAGTTATACCGACGTCTGAGATGCTCAGACTTGGGACAACTACAAACAAATTATAACTGAGATCCAACATTTCTAGTAATGTATTGCTAAATATGTCCTTGGGGAGGTAATTTAAACTGTTCCCACTTAAATTTAAAATACGCAGCTTTGGCATGTTCGCAAATTGGCTTGTGTGTAATTGGCCTATTAAGTTCCTGGACAGATCCAAGACCTGCAGATTCTGCAAACCGAAAAAAGCTTTCCTGCTAACAGCCATGATGTTATTCTGCTGCAAACTTAAATGCTCTAATGACGTCAGATGCATGAAGTTGTTATGCTCTAACGAATTTATAATATTAAAATCTAAGTAGAGTTTCTTAAGTAGAGCTGTCTGTTCCAGGCATCTGGGAATATGAACTAGATTGTTGTACCTCAAGTCCAAAACTTCCACTGTTAGAATTTTCGAATCTGAACTACACGACGATATTTGATTTCTGCTTAGATTTAATAAAAGAGGGTTCGATATATTGATGAAGTACCCAAAGGATATCTCCGATATTAAATTATTCTGTAAATCTAATTTCGAGAGGGAGGGTAAATTACAAAACGCTCCATGGCTAATGCGACTTAAAAAGTTATTGGAAAGAATCAGTTTGTTGAGACTAGGCAGGTCAGAGAAACTTTCGCCCTGGACATACTTAATTTTGTTACCTGACAGAAGAATCGTTTCCAAACTATTTAACGAACGAAAGGTGCCTGTTTCAATGAATGTTATTTCGTTGTTGGACAGGCGTATGTCTTTTAATTTAGAGTGAACGCCGGACTTGAGGAGTTTGACTGGGATCGATCGAAGTTTATTAGACTCCATATTAAGATATTTCAGTTCCAGAAGGGAATCGAGGGATAGTTCGGGCGCCGTGTGGAAGTTATTGTGGTCGATGGAGAGCCATTTTAAGTTTGTTAAGGGTTTGAAAATTTCGTGGGGGAGATCCTCACGATCCATCCCGAAGGATATTTCTAAACTTTCTAAGCCTTCCAGGCCAACGAAGGCATCTGTATCAATTATTCTTAATGGGTTGAAACTTAGGCTAAGTTCTTTTAGTTCTTTTAGGTCGGCGAATATCTGACTTTTTAAACTAGTGATACGATTATTGCCCAAAATTAGGCTCTTGATATTATAACCCCAATTAGAAAAGTCGTTTTCGTTGATGTCGTAAATTTCGTTGAAGGCGATATTAAAATGGGAAATTTTCGAGCAGTTCTGTAATGTTTCCGACGGGATTCTTGTTAAATGATTTCCGCTTAGACTTAGAGCCTTCAGGCTATGGCAGAAGTTTTCAAAAGCTCCGTCTGGTATCTCGCTAATCGAGTTTGACGATAAGTAGAGGTATTTAAGGGACTTGAGCTGACTGACTGCTCGCGGTATGTGCTGGAAGTTATTATGATCAAAGTCCAAGTATTCCAAAGATTCGTCGATACCAGCAAAGGCGTTTATGTCAATATTTTCGAGTAAATTGTAGGAAAGAATTATCCTTCCCGTTTGAAGTCCCGAGAAAGTTTCCGCCGAGAGCATCCTGAAGTCGTTAAAAGCCAAATTCAAATCTCTTATACACACAGAGTTGTTGAACGGAAACCGCGGTATAGTTTTGAGGTAATTCTCTCCCAGATCGATTTTCTCCAGCCACAACTTCCTGGCGAATGTGTGCTCAGGTATAGTTTTTATGTGGTTCCCCCGTAAATACAGCCATTGCAAATGAGGTAGAGCGGTGATGATGTCGAGAGGAAAGTTTTCAATCAAATTATGCGAGATACTGGCGGTCTGGAGGGTAAGCGGAAGAGAATGCTTATGGATTTTATATATTCTGTTTCCGTCCAGGTTGAGCCAAATGAGAGACTTGAACTGCCGCAGACCGTGTTGATTTTTCGCGATGTGATCGGACGTCTCGTTCGGAATTTCTGTAATGTCGTTTTCTCCGAGGAAAAGTGTCGCTACTGTATTCTTGATGTGCGACCATTCCCCGTTTATAGACGATACTTGATTTCTGAAACAAAACAATCAGATTTAGCGCGGTGGGTTTCAATTTAGTAATTGAATTCGCTTCATAACGTTTCATTAAGTTACACGGAAGAGGCATTGTTCCATCAGCTTTATAGTACGTACATTTTAGTGCAGATTAAAATATGTTTGGCCCTTTAAACAATTCCCACTCAACTGATAACGTTTGTTTAATTAAGTAATAACTTTTGAGCAGCGCCTCATTTTCTTGTTCGTTCGGCATTTACTTAATTACATATTCACATCAAGTAGCTCTGAATTTAATATTTGTGCATAAACGGCTATTTAAACAAAGCCACCAGCTATTAAAATAAAATAACTGGTTCAATATTACACACTAATACAAATTGTGGAAATTGCAAAGATTTTTAACATACTTGCAATGGTTTATATTTGTTGTAAATATACGAATAAAAAGAATGTGAATTTACACGGATTTATTTTCACTCAACCCAATCAGATTAGTTACGTGATCGTCCGGTGTGTATATTGAGAGCTCTGCTAGCAGTTTAACAGACCACATGTGCCGTAGTAATGCAGAATAGTGTTGTAAATGAGTACATTTTCATTTAACGTTATATAATAAATATGTATCAGTATTAACCATATTGAACTTTGCTTATACCTTTTTTTTCAGTTTAATGTTTTCAAAACAAGAATCTTGACTTGAATCAAAAACCTTAATAAAGTTATATTTCAAGAAAACAAACGAATAAATCTTTTTGTTAATTGTAATTAAGCTATTAGAAACCCATTCTATAGAAGTAAATAAAATCTCATGTGTCTCAGGTAAATATATATTACTTATTTTATAGACAATATAACATTTAGTAAGACAATGATAGAACAAGAAAATCCACCTAAACTACAAAAATGTTGGAATACAAGCATCACGGAGAACATGTAAACACCAGAAAATGTATCTTTCCTGTTTTACCCAAGAAATTTGTGAAGATAATAATTGTGATTAATGCGTGTGTTAATAGTTTCCCAAAAGCATTCTGCTGGGTGTGATTATGTGTATGTTTATAGCAAGCGATTTTGTTACGTTCAATAGGCGTGCAAAATTCAGGAAACATACGAGGTAAACGTATGTTTTTCCCTTATTTAGAAGGTATTGCCAGTTGTCTTAGACCCTGAAGAAAACTTATATACCTGGTACAGTGAAGAGATATTGTTTCTAACTTGCTTAGATATTCTAAAACCCTGGAAAAAAATCCGCTTGTAAACGTTCCCCATAATATGTTTTAGGTAAAGAAATATTCTTACTACCATGTTTAGTTAGCCCAAAAGTGAGAGAAAAGAGTTATCCTACAAAAAAATTAATTGTATTAAGTTGACGATTTAAATCGATTTGTTTTCATATATAGACGCTACATTTGAAGAGTGACCCTTTTATTTTCGGACACCCCGTGTAGGTACTTTATTGGATTTGCTATGAACAAACTTTTACCATATAGACTGTTTTCAATTAGCGATATGTCTAAAAATAGCACAAAGGGCAAATATTTCGTGTATCTATAATATCCCAAAAATTAATTTAAATTTTTGGAGCCAATATTAGCTAATAAATAAACCCCGCAAATGAATTGAAATTTTCATAATTCAGAGGCTGCCGAATTAAACATTTAATGCTAATCGCTCGGTACAATATCAAACTTACAGGAGTATTGATTTTTGCCTCTGGTCTGTATGAAAGATTCAAACTCGGATTCATCTATATAAGATGTACGCTTTACATAAATCAGAACAATTTTTCTTTTCACAATGTAAATTTGAAAAAATACGTAGACAAATGAATTTAAATGACGGTAGATGAAATTTGGAGTGTTAGGATCAAGTCAGTTAAACTATAAATAAATTAAACAACAAAAGTTAGGAATGTTGAGTTGAAGCGAAACAAAAGAATTTTTTCAATGAGAATTTTTGTGAATACTGAATATGGTGGTGGATTCTACATAAAAAAATTGTTTCGCCATTAAAGTTTTGCCTTATCTGAGCTCTAGTTGTATTTTCATCTACGTTGTCCAAAATACAATCCCACATCAAGAAAATCAATGGTCTTTATGTCTGGTGACAAGGCTGGCCATTTTATTGCACCATCGTATTCCGATTTATCTTAAATGGAGACAGATATAAATTCTGTCGGCCTCTCGTACAATGTTTGAAAATTTGTTAAAAAATCTACATTTTCACACAATTTGTAGGTACCTGTTTTCATTTTAAGAACAATTATGTGAATGTTCGTATCAATACTTTTAACGCGAGGAACAATAAATGATATGTTTTTATCACATGATTCTATATTGTTTGAAAGAAATAAATGCTTCCGTGAACTACACTAATTACTTCTAGAGTTATGGAAAACTGACACTAACTGCTCTAAATGTTCACTAAGTAAACTTAGACGTTGATCGTTAGAAATCCATTATATACAAAACAAAATAATATAAACCTGGAATATACGATTGACTGTGGGTCTTAGCCAGTGTACCAAAAATGTCTGGATCATAATGTCTAAATTTTATTTGATAATAAGGACATATATCCAAAAATATTCCAGGGAGCATCATAGTTAGTCTTAGGTTTTCCTAACACTGGATAGTATAATAAAGACAACTGATACTTTTGATATCAATAAAGATTAAGCTTGTTTTAACTTTTTACAATATTTGTGAAAAACGTTTTTTACATCTGTCAATGTGGAAAAATGGGACCCTATATTTTTATTAGACCTTTTAAACATATTAGTGAAAACCATCAGAAAATTTAGTGGTCGTTCTAATATGATGAAATATTGTTTTGATTTCATTTGAATATACATATACATTTATGTTATACAATTCAGTTCCTTCTGATAATAAATTAATGTATATGTTTAGGGAATAAATTATGATAAATCTAAATTATTAAAGAAAAAATACTCAAGGAATATTTTTAATTAGGATATAAACACATTTACTAATTATAAAAAAATCTTTAAATTAAAAGAAATGTAGAGAAATAATGTAATGAAGGAAAACGTATTCCTTTAGACTCAAATGCTTCCATTCATTTACTTAGCTTTTAAAAAGCTCTTGGGAGTACATGTAAAAAATTATCAAAGAGAAATAACTTTTACGCAGAAAGTCTTATAATTCAATTGTCAAATAATTTACTTTTTTCCTTAATCCGGTGATTTGGTGAGGTAATAACAAAAAATCGTTATTATATAAAGTTTCTCAATATTTCATGTGTAAGTCAAGATAGCGAGGGTAGCACCCATTTTAATAAAAAATAGGTCATATTTAAAATAAAATCAATTGTAGTCATTGTCATTATAACAATTTTTCTTAGTATTTTAACTAACTTTCTTTAGGTGTCATTATAACAACTTTAGTGAAAGATAATAAACTGCTACGTACCAAGAGATTGACCTTCTCTCCATTTGCTCATTTTCTCACATGAATATTTCATTTTCCTTATTATTACCTCTAAAGACGTATTGCTTCAGCATCAAGTTTCGTAACGTCGATTAAATCCATCAGATTTTATATTATTTCGACTACTTCAATTTTCTTTGCTTCGATATTCATAGAGAATTAATTAAAAGTATTTAATGGCGACAAACATTTTAATTATTAAATATTTAATGAGCAAGAAAAGTTGATGATACAGAAACTTTAAATGTAGTTGAAGCAAATAATAATTTTGCTTTGGAATAAAACCACAACTAAAAAGAGGATGTCCTGCGTTTTTCACAAATATATAGTTTGTTATACGTTTCAAAAACTAGAGAGGTTCCTTTTTTTTGTAATGAAAATGAGGCATAGGGTTTACAACGACTTAAAATAAATGCATACTAAATCAAATCTGTTGTTATTATTGAATATAACTAGATCTGGAGCAAAACAAATTGTTGGTAGGGTAAAATTGCACGTTTTGCTTTTTTTTGTAGAACATCTCCAGTATACATATTTATTTTATTCAAATATATTGTTGCCCTAAACAAATAAACTCTTAATCCTTGTGTTATGAATTCAATAATGGGCAATATTTTCAATATTATTAATTAAATTAATATTAAATTAAGCTTTTAAGTCCTATCTCGTATCCTGTGCTCACTATTGGCCCATTTTTAGTATTTCTTGGTAATATAGCATCGACACCGAGGAATTGAGTTATTGTGTAATTCTCAACAGTGCACCATACTCTTCCTGGAGTGGGCGCTGATTGCAGTCTCTCACTGGTCAGCCTTCTTCCATTATGGCTACCTCAAGTTTGATCTCGGAGCTTAAAATCTGGTGATGTTCTCACGAGTAGGATACGTTTCTTTTGTTGCATGTAACTTGGCTTTCATTTGAGCCTTTCCTCACTGTTTTGATTTTCACACTTTTATGCTTTGGTACTTGTGTTTTTTTTACTGTTTTTGCAATGCTTGTACATTCTAGGAATCTGTACGCTGTCTGAGCGGTTGTGGCGATAAACTTCAATGTTCTCAGATACTACGCTTTGGGAGTGATTTTGGAACGAGCAATGTTTGCTGTTGAATTCGGAACATGGGTGATTTTTGAATAATAATAAATTAATATATCAATGGCGTGCCAATTTGAAAGCGAATTTAATGTACAAGTGAAAGGTGGACATAATGAGAGAATTTTGCAAAAATGAATTTATTTCTGGTTTATTTCGGAAATCATAAACCGCTCAGTAACTAAAAATATTAATTTTACGGAGGGTAGATAGAATAGATTGAAATCCGCGGATTCCAGCAAAAGTAAGTGGGCCCTTAACTATATATCCTCAATTAAACTAAATGGAACATCCAAGTTTATGGAAACGTTTCTGCTTGAGGCATGCGACGACGTAGACGCTGCCGGTTACAGCCGACTTTGTATCACTTAATTTTGTTTGGTATGTCAAGCGTAACATGTTACACCATTCACTCCAGGAAACCGACTTTGTGCTGCATACTAAAATATTTAAATCGTGAATAGTTAATAGAGC